TTACTTTGGGTTTTCATTTTTGTTTTGTTTTGTTTCTAAGTACTGACCTAGACTGGTCTAATTGAATTTGTAGGCTCTTACAGATGCTGCATTTTTCTTTTAGAGGCTGTTCTGAGAAAATAAAGTTGTAAACACCTATTTTTAATAACCATGGCAAGATTTCAGAAAGGCCTGTGCATGAAGCCTGAATTTCTCACTAAGCAGCTTGTGCTCAGGTACAGTTTTAGGCAGTGGGTAAGTAGTAGGAAACAACGACAAAAAAAAAAAAAAAAAAAAAAAAAAAAAAAAAAAAAAAAAAAAAAAAAAAAAAAAAAAAAAAAAAAAAAAGAGGGCCAAATCAATATTCTTTTATTCAGATGGAAGCTGAGCTAACACAAACAGTTTATCTAAATGTTTAATAATTACCCCAAAAGGCAGGAAGCACACGTCATTACACATTGCAGAGAACTCTGAAGGAGGCTGGGCTGGCTTTATCCTTTATGTCCTTTGATGTGGGCATGGGGTCACACAGGATTCAGGCACCTCTCCAGCAAGAACTGCTAAAATGTACCTGCTTAAAATGTAAGGCTTTACAGCAGAGCATCTGCTACTGCAGCATAATAAAAATGTATTAACCCAAGACAAGGATTTATTGTAGGTGTAGTAAGATGGGTAAGCAACCAACTAAACAGAAGAGGGAACTAGATTAGGCTGAAAAGTAATTACTAATTATGTTTTGGAAAAGCATCTTATTTAATATTTTCATTAATGACAGCACAAAAAATCAGCATGAACTAATGAAGTTTGAACATATATTTGAAACTGGGGCAAGCTGACAGAGTATAAAACAAAATGCTAGAATTTTACATAGGAAAAATATAGGAAATTGTCATTTTAAGTAATGTAAGCACCATGAAAAAAGCAATTGTCACATTATGTATTTGAGAACCAAGTTATTTTGCTAAGAAAAAGGTGATCCTCTGGTTAAAAAGAATGACACAAGATAAAAAGATTGGTAAATTTCTGCTTACTAGAGTCATGAACAGTAACAAAATAAAAGTAACAACTCCTACTGCCACACTGTTTTCAAACACTGGTGACAGATACAACAGAGAGTGAAACTTCCTCTGTGCCACAGCATATAATTTTTGCTAGAACCATGATACGGAACTGGAGAGACAAAGGACTCTGATTAGAGAAGACCCAGAACACATCTATGCTGAACACCCTAACCAAGTGAAAATTCCCCAGTGACTGCTGAGGAAATTAAAGCCAAAGCTACAGCACTGCTGGAAACCTGGGGCTCTGGCTTAGGTCATGCTCAGACAGGCAGCACACAGAGGCCAGGACCAATTCTTATCCAGAGCAATTAGGCAAGATCTGTGCCTATTTACAAGGGCTTAATGAACCTGAAGAACTGCTGGCCTCCAGTGGAAAGCTCTGCAGCTGTTCCTGAAAGCTGCCCTTGGCCAGCTGCTTGTCCAGATGCCAGTACTAAGCCATGCTCTTCTCTCAGACATGGGCAGCTGCCACAACGGGGCCTCCTGGCACAGGCACAGCTGGACTCTTCAATGGTCTTGGTCTGCAAGACACTGGAGCAGATCAGCAAAGAATATGGAAAGTTCACTGCTGTGTGTCATAGTTTCATATCACAGTCATTATTAGGAGTGGCTGTCACTAAGCATCCTTCAGGTAAGGTGAAAGATTTGGTCAAAATTAGTCTGATTTCCTTCTGAAAGTCAAAAGACCTCAGAAAACTTGAGAGCAGCACATGGGAGTTTAAATATAAAGTGAGTTGCAGCTCTCATGAAGTAAACAACAGGTTCAAAATGGAATTTTTTTAACTTCCCTGGCTATTCTGAAAGTTTGTGTGCTTAGATCCATACCTGAAGATATTTATTTGCTAAGAAGCTTGAGAATTTATCCTGGTTTTCCTTAGCTCACAAGTTGAAGCTGTGATAGGTGGCAGATACAGGGTTTTGTTTCCCATCAAGACAACAAAGCAAATGAACATTGTCATTACAAAAAGGGCCCCAGTCCTTACAAACAATGTTGATTAATGAAAGTAGTTCAAAGTTATTGCTTTTTTCAGTCTCATTGATCCTGAATGCATATGCACAAAGGGAAAAGTTCCTAACATGGCCCTCACAGGTACAACTGTGTCCAGAATGCTTCTTCTGCGGGTGGCTCTTCATCACCAACACCTGCCAGTGCCAGTGCCCAAGGAGTGTCATAGACTGTTGTTTTCTTGCTCATTTTTCAAGCACTTTTATTAATCAAAGTGAGGTTCAACTTCTTAAAAAAGCTGAAGAGATCCCTAAAATTAAGGGAAGTTTTCAAACACACCCATAGTGTGGTAGATAGGGACAGGCGAACAGAAGATTTCGGGATGTGACAGAAGCAAGGCCCTTCCCCCTCATCCTGTAATACGTGATCCATTACCCCCGAGACACGTAACCCCACCTAACCCAGTAGTTTTCCACTCCTTACTAATCCTAGAGACCCTACCTTCTTCCTTTGACGTAGCAAAGTCCCCCTCGACTATTTAACCTCACGAGATAAAGTAATAAATGCCATTTGACCATCCACCACGTTGGTGTCTGTGCATGTCTGTGGCCCGAGTGGCCCAGGCGAGGCCGGGCTGCCGTGCTGTCCCTTGAAACCAGGTCACCTTGCCTTCTCATCTGAAGGCAACACCAAAGAAAAACACTTCTTCCCCAACAGCACTTTTGATTAATAAGATGAAACAAATCTGTTTTACAGGTTTACAAAAGATAACAGCTTAAGAAATGTCCTATTTATTTGTCTCTTCCAAACAGAAGGAGAATGTAGATTTAAAGTTTTGCAAGATTATTTGCAATCAGAACAGCAAGTGAAACATAGAATTCCTCCAATATTCTTGTGAAATTTGCCACAAAGGCCTAAGGACAAAGCCATGACAGACCTTGACTCAAGGAATACTACCACCATTATTTGTGTTAGAGAAAGCCAATGATTTTTCACAGCAGAGCAGTTAAGTAAAGCTGGACTAGAAATTGTGCAGAAATACATTCACCAGCTGCAGGACTAACAGAAAATTATTTCAACCCTCTCAAGAATCACTTGAGTACCAGCCATCAGGAAAACAAAAGTTTATCTTTAAATATTTTACCCTACCTAGCAGTATCACCTCTGAGTTCTTCAAAGGAAATCCACATTTCTTATGTTGATGGAATGGCCTTTATTTCCTTCCTAGCTGACAGGGCTATTGCATCTGTACCATGAATTCCAGGAAAAAAACAAAGCTATACTCTGAGGAAAAACAAGGCAGTAAATTTGGATTATTTTCTAATCTAATGATATGAGCAAATACTGAGAGAATGAGAAGCAGAAAAAAGAAACTTATTTACATATTCATTGAGTAATTTGTATAATCAGAAGATTTAAAAGGTCATTACCGGAACACCTGCCTGTTAACAGATGTAGAAGAATGAAGGCCAAAGAACACAGTTTTTATAAAGATGCTGATAGATAAACAGCTGGCAGATTTGCAGCTACCTGCTGGGCCAGCATTAGTTCCTTTGGTCAGGCCACTGTTGTGGATGAGGTAAATCTGGAACTCATGAATCCATGCAGACACTGACTATCCTGTTGCAAAGCTTGCCAGATTATTAAGAACTGTATTGCTTTTAAATATCAACATTCCAGGTAAAACAGCTTTTATCCAGTAAGGAAGTTTTATATATCAACCCAGGTATGGGTCTGATGTTTGCACTGACAGCAGATATTGAAAAAACCTTACAGTCTCTTACCACAGAAAGAAAACCAGCAGAGTAGATGCTTGTAGAGTAGATGTTTAGACAGATGGGAGGTACACCTTTGCACAAATCTTAATCAAGAATGAAGAGCTTGTCTTAATTTGGCCAGATTGGTTAACTTCAGTGTCAGTGCCACTCAGTAACACTGGAGACTCAATAGCCATTGGCACAGGCCCACAGGTCAAGCCTATGTTTAATAATTAAGACATTTCTCCAGAGCATACTGGGCATTGAATCACCTGAATATTCAAGTTATGAGGAAGCTAAGGGGAGAATCTGGTCCAATCCCTAGCTCAGCAGGGTTAACTCCAAAGCTGTAACACCATGGATAGTCAGAGCTCTCCCTCCTTGTCAGCCACGTTCTGCACATCTCCAAGGATGGGTATTCCACAGGCTTTCTGAGCAACCTCTTCCAGTTCTATTTCCCTCTCATAATGATTGTTTATCATGTCCAATAAGAAATTCTCTTGCTCAAGTTGTTTCTGCAGCCTCACATTCTCATTCATTCATCTCTGGGGAAAGTCTTTACTCTCCTGCAGGCAGGTGCAGGCAGCAAGAAGCTGCCCTCATGCAGGTACCTGTGTGGGTGCTGCAGGATTTGTCCCATCAGCTCCAGGTCTTTGCTGAACATCAGGAGATGCCCCTCGGTGTCAGCTGTGGCTCCCAGCTGCTGTCATCTGCCATCAGTCCGAGGTTGCTGCTCACCCTGTCACCAACCTGCCCTGGCAGCAGGGCCTGCCCTCAGCAGTGCCACAGCCACCAATCTCACTCCTTAGCAGATTATTCCTCCACTCTGACAGTCCAGCCAGTTTTCCACTCATCTTCCAAGCCTATCCATCCATCCCATCTCTCTCCAGTTTGGCTGTAAGGATACTGTGCAAAACCGTGTAAAAGTCTTTGCCAAGGATAGGAAACAGGACATGCTGTGCTCTCTCTTCTTCTACAAAAGGGAGGGAAGTCAGGTCAGTTAGGCAGAGTTTGCCCCTGGTAAAGCCATGATGGCTACGCTCAGTCACCATTTTGACCCTCACATATATCAAAATAAGATTCATTTCCATAACCTCTAGGAATATGCTCTAGTCCTCCCAGGAACTGAGGTTACATGCAACTTCAGTCTCAGGAGTATATATGATACAATTATTTGTTTTACAAAAACAAAGATACAAAAATATTTATTTTGCACTCCCCTCAAGAAGACATTTGTATACAGAACAACCCCTTTGCAGCTGTTTAAAAATCTTTACTATTACCTAATGTCTATACACACTTTTATACATTTGCTTACTTTAAATGTACAGAATAACAGAAAATAATCTTAAGCAATTCAGAAGTTTACAAGGTAAGTTTTTTACAAAGCAATACATCTTCTCTCAATTTTCACGACAAAAGCTTCTGCGTGGTCAAGGATTCAAAAACTCATCCAAAATTTTCAGAGATGATTCATACAGGAATCTGAAATGCCATAAAACAATGCGTAACAGAATTAGAAATGCTAAATGCCAAAGCAATCCTCAACTATTTGATTCTCAGGGTACAGCTACCACATGATTTCTTTGACCAGTTAGTCCATATTAGTTTATTAAAATGCCTTTAAAAATTACTTTTGAAATAGCTGGATTCTTTTTCTTTCAACTTTTCCATTTTCTCCTGGTCATCTCTGTCATTAGAATAACCAACAGCAAACCAGTTTAAATTACCATGTCAATTCAAGCACATTTTCTAATATTTCATCATCTAGTTAAAGAACCCACTCGTTTTCTGCACAGCATTGTTCCTCCTTTGTTCAAACAAAACAGTGAAATCCTTTACGGATAATTCATTCTAAGACCACTTTTCATTCTTTTACTTTCCTGATTTCTCCCTCACTCTTCAGCCTTTATATTTTTTCTTCTCATCCAAGACAACTGCTTTCCAAGCCTGAGCTTTTGCTGTTATCCTTACTAGTGCTGCCTCCTCGAGCTGCCCTCACACTCCTCTCAGTCCCACTCTGACTCTCATCTCTAATCTCACACTCCTCTCTGCAGTGCCACAGCCTTTAAGCCAGGATGAAACTCCAGTGTCAACTGAAGGTAGTGTTACAAGGTACTACAGAATTAGTTCTGTGTTAAGTTCCGTGGCATTAGGCACAATGCTGCTTTGTAGAAATTTTATTTTCTTACAGTTCAAGGCTAAAAAACCCAATGGATTTGTCATGTGGTACCACTGGCATGTTGGCCAAAAGCCATCACTTGGGATAACTCTGCTCCTCCCAGACAAGCTGAAGTCAGTTTTACCAAGTACCTTTCTAGGAAACTTAAAGATGAGAGGCAGAAAAATCACACCCAGAGTTATACACCAAAACAATTCAAGAGCCATAATTTACAGATGCAATGAGAGTGCAATAATGAATTTTGAAACTAGCTAATTGATAATACTAAAAAAAAATAAAAATTCTGCACAGCCGTTAACTAAACTTAAATTCTAATATTCATATATCAAAATTCTAAATAAAGTAAATACACAGTATTATGTAAAAGTTACTATCCTATAGCACATTAGGTTTTACAGAATGTGAGACATTTTTCTCTAGCCTCCAAATGGTTTATCTGCATTTTTTTGTTAGGCATAAATATTTGCATTTTATAAACTAATATGTGTGCCATTACTCTTGAGGAAATTCTCTCAATACACAGTATGTTGTCCAGAATTTTTAAATGCACTGAACAGCATTTTTAAAATAAAGACCCACAGGACTATCTGAAACCACTAGCTCAGCTGAAGAGGGAAAAGTAAATTGCAGTGAAAAGTTTTGCTTCTGAATTAGTGTACCAATTCCTTGTATAAGGGCAGCACCTTAATTACCACACCAGACAGCTTTTTTACTTTTTTCTTTCATTGCTAATATGTAAGAGATTACTCATAAGTCTGAAGTTAAGATGCTGGCACAGAATACCAGTTCTCTTGGGAAATTAACGAATGTCACCATTTCCTGGTATACCTGGGTATTGAATAAAATAATCCCTCAAGGAGTTATTAGGAGATAATGCATTCAGAAGCAAAAAATAGTAATATTATTAAGAATTAGTTAAAACCCAGTATTTTAGCCAGCAGCAGCACAGTAATGTGTGTTAGAGGACTGCTTTCAAATTAATGGCCAGAGATCTAGCTTGCAGCATACCATAACTAAAATTTGGTAAGCAGAACAGGATAATAAAATAGTTTACAAACAATAGGGCACGCTTTAGAACATGTGTAATCACATTTTAGCTACATTAGCACACAAACAGCAGAGCACTACAAATGGCACATCAGAAGCCACCAGAGGCCCAGCCAGTCTGACGTTCTGTCTTGGATGTGAGACTGCAAACACACTTCAATTCATCATGCAAAACCTGATCACTGCAGAATTTCCTCCAAACCTCTTTCCAGAATCAATTATTTTACCCTTCTGGGGGGAAAAATTCCCCAGCATAACTGTACAAATATTAAATCCCCTCAAATTCTGCAAAGCTGATAGCTTCTGAATTTTATCATGGTGTGCAATTCTGATTCATAGAAAAAAATCTTCCCATTATCATATTAATATCCCTAACCCTTGAATTTTGTCTGCAACTGCCTCCTGGGTTGCTATTATACAAAGGTAGCCACTCATATATCATTAAATTAAAACACTGTGTAGCATCTTATACTCTTCATCTGCCCAAACACGCTGGTTGATTTGTCCCAGTTCACTGAGCAGAGACAATCATATAGATTCATAAAGCAATTATCTGTGTTCTCACTGAAATTTATAGTCACTAGTGCTCTCAAGTGGCAGCAATTATTCACTTTAATGTGCCTATTTATTTAATCATGTTAAGATTCACTTTAATTTCACAGTGTTTTCTACTGTCTTGATTAGAAGAAGTGCAAACTGAAACACGATACCCTGCCGCTCTCCTTCTTTTCCAGATAATTATTATTATTATTGTTAAAAATATTCTAGTAGGACACTTGGCAACCCATTGTAAAGTAATTTCATGAGGAAAAGAATGGGGTTTTGTTTATTTGTGTTTGATTTAGTTTCTAAGCTAGCTCTTGACCTAAGCAACTCTCCAGCTTTCCTGCAGGCTCCTTTCAGGTCCTGGAAGGGACCCAGAGCACCATTGTCTGGATGGAAGCACAGTTCAGCCACCAATTTCTATGTCAAGTCACTAAAATGCCAGGGAACAACGTGCCTCAGGCCAAGGATCCATAAGAAGAGAACAATGGGAATGTGTGCTCAGGCTAGGAGAGCTGTGCAAGAAACTACTGAGTAAATGAAGCTCCTATACAATGAGGTTCTTACACAACAGGCTTTTTGGCTTGTTTGGGAGTCTCTGGTTTGGTTTGTTTATTTTAAAGTCTGTCTACATCCGTTGTTTGATTCAATGTAAGGATCACTAGTTTGAAGAATGAAAGATTGCCAGGGGCTCTACATGTTCAGGCCTCTGTGGTGCATTGCAAACTTTCTCAGTAATTGTGGATTAATGACCATAAACTCCAATCTGGTTTCTTCACATTCTGTATTTGTGGTTATAATATCTCCTTTGCACACTTTTTGATTCTATGGGCAGTTCAATAACTAGGCAGAAGTCAGGTGCTCACAAATTTTAAGACTTAAGCAAGTTTGAGACACTAAAGGCTAAAGCATTCATCATCATCCTCTCAACAGGTCTGAGATAACTGATTGCAAATACAATGCAGCCAATCACTTTCAAAAAACTTTTCACAAAAGATACATAAGATATGATACTTGAAATTCCCTGTCAACAAAAAGAGCAAAATAAAACCACTTGTGGAAAGGTCTCAAAGACATTGTTATATTCAGTTAAATTTTTACTGCCTGCATAGATTTGGATTCCTATGCCTAATGCCAAAGTGGGAGAAAAATCTTCTAGTAATAAGAAATAGGAACTGGACTATTTGCTTTGTTCTACTGCAAACAGACCTGGATTTCAGAAGTGAATGCTGCAATACACAGGATCAAGTGATAACTGCAATACACAGGCTCAAGTGATAACACATTCAAATTAAATGAAAAAAGCCTGAAGCTAAATATGTAAAGATTGCAATCACAGCAGATACAAGGGCAGGAAATTTAATACTGTGCTGGGCTCAATACCTCCCACTTTCCCTCCCAGTATTTTAAACCTTGCCATCAATCACTCAGAACACTCTTAACAGTGTTATGCAAGTACAGTACACAGCCAATTATTGCAGAGAGGGGATAGGAGTGCTCAGTGCTCCTTTCCTACAGTACACCCACCTTTCAGTGCTGCTGGATTCTCCTGTGGCAGTGTCCTTGCATATTATTAGCTTCGTTTGAATGGCAGGTGCAATATCCTTTAGAAGTGAAGTTTTGTGCTTACCTATTTGAAATGAGTTGAAATGTTGGACAAAATAATAATTTATCAAACAACAACCCCACCCTTCCATATTTTCAGATGATAATTTTAAACATAAAAGATTCCTTAATGGAAGATTAGATATTAAATTGGATTTTCACTGTCCTGGATTAATTACTGTGTACTTCAATGTAGTACATAAAAAGAAAGATGGAAAAAGTACAAAGATGTTTTAACTGACCTTTAATTACAATCACAATGCAGACAGCAGCAGTTAGACTAAAAATCCCTTCAATTTCTTTAGAGAGAATGCACTCCATTAATTCTTTTAAAACTGACCTAAGGAAAAAAAATAAAGACAAAAATATGTCATAAACTACATTTCTTTCAAAATAGAACAGAACATGTTTGTAATTATGCTAGTTTGCCACCACAGCTTCAAAGATACTATGCAGGACAAAACACTGTGACTGGGTAACTGAAAACTATGTGCTGCCCCTGGATCTGAGAATATCACAGCATGATGAATTGCTTGGGAAGAAAATACAAAAGTCTGCAAACAGAAAAATTGGTTGAGAGAAGTGAAGAGCTTGGGATATATTTTAGCAAAGTCAATACATCAAAAACTACTGGTTCTACTGGAATTTAATTAATAGAATTTGTACTGAAATTTCTACCTCAAATTTCTACTCAAGTTTGAAAAAATATAGTCTATTACTCTATTGGTTTGCTAGTACCTACTAAGGCTTAATTAACATTTTGACCTTAAATGTGTTTCTCATAAATATTAAAATATATGTTTTTCCAATTACAACCCAGTGAAGATAATTTATAACTAAACAATGCTCTGAAACACTTCCAGCAACATCTTAGTTACTGAAACTATGGACAGAATAACAGAACCATGACAGCACCTCCTTGTAAAATACTAACTCAATATGTAGCTTAAGAGATATTGTGACTTCTAGCAAGAGATATAAGTATTACCAGCAAACTCTAGTGGTGTTTTGGGATATATGTCAAGGTAAGAAAAATAAAATGAGAGTCTCAGATAGGGTCCAGCAACCAAACTAAACTGCAGTAGGGAATAAGTCAATACCACAGAATGGAAACTAACTGGTCATTAGTGTTTGTGGTAAAAATCCCAAATTTAACTCAGAAGCAATTCTCAAAACCAGAGAAAAATAAAAGAACAAGAGGAATAAAACAGGAGATGGAAGAGATCCATAATCCTGATACTCCTCAGAGCACAAAGCAAAATGCTCTGTGAAGAACTGAAGGGAAAACTCAGAGCAGAATGTTACAGAAACCTTCCCTAACATATTTCAAAAAAGCCTTAGCAATACTATTATCTGTTATGAAAACTGAACATCATACACTGCCAGTTCTGACTTCAATTGTTCTTCAGGCTTTTATTGTGCTAAGATATCAAAATGAAATATGCAGTTAAGAATCAATTCAGTAAAAACATTTTGCAGAAATTCAAATATTGCTTCTAAGAGCTGAAAAAGATGAAAAATCTTTAGCTTCAGAAATAAGCATTATGAAGTTGCTCATGCATTGCTTCAGTTTCATTGTATTATTGTGGACTAATGTGACCAAGCATTCTATTTCACCTTGCTCTTAAATTGCTAATGGACAGTATTGGGATCAGAGTCCTGACTTTGCTGTTATCATTGTTTGGGTCACTAAGCACACTCTTAACCTCCATGAAGGAACACTGGAATTTTATTAACCTGTAACAAGACTCACTGAAGCTGCATTTCCCCACCTCCTTCTGAGAAAGGGTCACATGAGCCTGCAGGCAAAGATAAAATAGTGCAAAACAATAAGGTATTTAAAAATACATATAAGGCTCAGAGGTAAGGAATTGGTTCCTATACAGATAGTTCCCTAATAAAATGAAAGATAAACAATTGGACAGATATTGCCAAGACTCCCAGTACTATCACTTCTAAGGGGATTGAAATTCAGTGCTAGAGACTGACTGGTTAGTATTGAAAATAAAACAGATTCTGCAGAACTCAGAGCAAGATGACTCTCAGCTCACAGAGCAGAACCTCACATTAGATTTTGTAACATCAAAGGCTTTCATGCTGACATAAATATTTCTGAAATACTGAACCATTCACTACTGAACTCTGATTATGGCCTATCAATACAGATTTATAAAAGTGCTTTATAAGTAGTCTCAATTCTGAGGCACCAGTAGAACCAGATGGAAATTATCTCTTAATCTTTGCCCTAAAAGGATAAATACTAGAAGATACATTTTTCCCAAGTACTCAGAAACAATTTGGCCCAAACTTGCAGTTTTGTCCACCATGAATGGACAAGATTCACCTAGATTACTACAAGAAAAAGTATCACAAGAATTAACCAATTTTCATCTCTTTTGAAAAGAGATGTGTAAAATAATTGTTTCACTAGAAGAGAACACCTTGAGTGCTGCCTCCTGGAAGAGCAAGATTTGGATTAGTTGGACTATTGCTGGAGTCTCTGGAGTCTTTTATTTTGCAAGTTCAACTAGAATTAGAGAAGGGTTGAGAAGAAAAAAAAAAACCTCATGACAGCAGAGACAGGGATATTCAGTGCCTGTCAGATGAAGAAGAAGAGGAATTAGTTGTGGTAAGTCAGGGAGAGCAATAGAATTTCTAAGGCCCTTTATAATTTAAAGCAAGTGTAGTGTGTATAGTCATGTTCAGAAAAATTGAAATTCAAAATGAAATTCAGTTGTGACAATTTTAGAAGATATTTAGGGCCTCCACTAAATAGAGCAAATACCCTCCCCCCTCCAGTTTAAGTATTAAAAGATAAATAACGTAAGCTCACTTTTGGAGGCTTTTAACAGTTACATACTTTCTATTTTGATGTTGTGACTTTAATACAGCCATAGGTACATGTCACCTTGTTAGAGATGTTCAACTAAAGGATTAATTCTATTTCTGGCAAATATTTTATCTCATCTTAATATCTCTGTGTTGAGGGGACTCAGCTTTATAAGTATCTCATGAAAGAAGCAAGCCAAGATGTATAATTAAAAAACTCATCATGATTAACAGTCTTGTAAATAAGAAGCACTCTTGGTTAAAAAAATGGAATCAACCCCAGAAATCAAACCCGACAGGCTATATGTCAAGAAAAAGGGATTATTAAATAGTCCAGATAAATTTAGAAAGTAACTAGTTCTTGAAAATTAATTTGAATTTAGAAATTAAAATTTTATTGAAAACACATAAACTGCTCTATACTAACAAAAACCTTGGAAAAATTAATATAGAAACATTTACCTGACAACATTAACTGACTTCATAATGACAGCCATTAAACTGCTTGAAAGAGGGGGAAGATCTGAAATAGTCTTTGGTATAATCAAGTCTTTTTCACTGGAAGCCTAAAAAAGAAAAAAGTCAACAACCGTTGTAGCTCAAGAAAGATATGTATGCAGAATATTGTATTTCAATAATTACACTAACCAGGGCCTATCCTTAAACAATTAGAACATACACAAGTATTCTTTGAATAGCTTTAATCTAACTGTGTTGTGTCCAAATAAACAGAACTAATTTAAATTAGAAAGACAAAAACTAAACCACATAAACAGCATTTGTACAAAGGCAAATATTCTCTGCAGTTGCTTTCACCAGAAGTTTCATTAAACTACACTGGTGGTCACTCTTTATAAGGCACAGCCTATTAAATACAAGAGAGTCCCCTCTGTGGCTCCAAGTTGAAGTGTGCATCCATGATTTCTAAATGTAACTTCAGTGACAGTGATTTTCTGGACACCTGCTCTTTTTGGTATAAAGTTCTGAACAGATGACAAATATTTAGTTAGAACTGAATTTTGATTTACAACAGCCTGGGGGCAGGGAAAACCCCAGCTCAGATAAGTGACTGGAATGAACACTCAATCTCTGAGTGTGAATCTCCAGTATATTCAAGCCCAGAAATGTTTACTCTGCATCATCTGTAAAGGACACCTGTCACCCCACAGCCTCTCAGCTGATACATCAATATCTGCAGGCAAACAGCTGGGTCTCCTTCAGTGCCTCCTGTAACAGAACCTTGGAAGCTGCTCTGTGGTTCCTTCTGGCAACTGTTTCTTGCTCTGTTTCTGACACAAGCAGAACCCACAGCAAAAGTACAGCCTCTACTCTTCCTTTTCAGGTCTAAAAGCTTCCAATCTTACTAATCATATTTGCTCCTAACACTATCCGCATTAGAAAAATGGGGTGGGAATGTTGCCCTTCTCCTTCAAGGATGGTTGTGGTTCCTGAGACTTTCAGAACATGAAATAACTTCTGTCTACACATCCTTTTCAGCATTAAAGACTTTTTATTTACTTTCCAAAGCAACATAGATCAGATATTTGGAAATCCTCTGCACAAAAACCAAAGGAATCAAAAAAAGATGCAGCAGGTGAAATGTCTCCGTATGGAAGTAGAGAATACACAAGTGATCAGTGCCAAGCAGGGCATCAGCCTGCTTTGAAACAGGACCACAGAACCTTCTGGGACCATTTAGGGAATGGGAATCTGTCACACATCAGTGGTTCACTTCCAAAATTCCCTAATGCTGGGTGAGATGAAGTGAGGTAGGTTTAGAACAAGCCCCTGTCCTCCTCCTTCCCCTGAGCTCTAATTGCTGAACACAGTATTTCAAGCCTTTGATCAGTTTGGGTCCATGGTCTCAGCTGTGTTCCCTCTCAGTCTCTTGCCCACTGACAGCCTTACTTTTTTTTTAGAGTGAAGGTGAAGGAACCAGGGAAACATTGACACTCTGCAAAGCACTCTCAGCAGCAGCCAAAACAAACTGGTGTGTCCTCAACAATGTCTTGGCCATAAATGCCAACCACAGCAGCACAGGGACTGCAGAGAGAAAAGCTGACTCCTTCCCAGACAGACCCAGTACAAAAGCACAGAGGGAATATTCCAGAACCCACGTTATTAATCCCCAACACTGCCTAACTGCTAAGCTCTCCTGTCAGGGGCAGATACTGAAATAGATATCAGGACAAGTCTGTTCCTCCACAGCTGTAGTCAGAAATCTGAGAGATGAACTCTAATATGAAATTATAGCAAATAAAATTTCCTGTTTGTTCCATGCCAACACACACAAAATCCTCATCTGCAGTACAAAGATCAATTTTCCAAATAAAGCTCTGTCGTTCCAACATAGCACTTAAAAAGCAAAAAGGCGTTAAATAGAAAAAAGAAAATCAGGATTAACTTTACCTTCTGTAGCATACAATTTATCTCTGCTACTATTGCAGCCAGGAGAGTGGAGAGTATACCCCGGTGAACTGCTGGGAATGAGGAATGCCAGCACTGCAGTGCATGGATGAATTCTCCAAGAGGCATCTGTATAGAGTGAATCAACTAAAACCAAAAAGAAAAACACACCTGTTTTTTCAGACTGCTTGAGTATAACTGAAATATACTAGCAAGCCTCTCTGTCAAGTGCAGATCACACCTTGAAAGCTTTAGAGGTATTCTAGTCACTGGGATCGGAGGGGGAATCAGCAACACCTGGGAAGTCTACTCATAAATTTGAGAAACAAACAAAGCAGTGGTTCTTACAAAAAAGAACTGAATGTTTTTCAGAAGTCTTGAAAAGTAGATCACTAAATTTCTCAGATGTGAGATTTTCAAGAATTTTAGAACATCACACCTATTTTGAAGTTGTTATCATTCAGGCTAAAATAAATAAATAATAAAGAAAATTTCTCCTCCCTCCAAGATCATAATATATATAAACAAATCCTTTGCTCTGGATTGAGGAAGTTCATCTAATTGCAGGTAAAATTAACAACACAGAAGTACCAGTATGGTCCAGAATCACTGGCAACAGAATGCATTTGTTCTGCAATTTAGTGGTCCTTCTGTCATGGTGAGACCAAAATGGACAAAAAAATTGGTAGCAAGAAAACTTAGAAAATTTAACTGAAAATTTTGTCATGTCTACCCAAACAGCTGGTAATAGAGGTAACAACCTCAGAGTGTCTAAGTATACCCTTTTGCATAAAAATTATGGAGTCATCTACACATTAGCAATTACATCACATTTTGAACTGTAACATAATACCTGAATTCCTCCTTCCCGTTCTTTCTTAAGTCTATGTGCCACACATTCTAAAATTTTCTGAAAGACATTCTGTAGAGTGTGGAAAAGATTTGTCACTTCCTCTGTCTCAGTATTCTGATTTAAAGAAGCTTCAATAATTTCTTTTAGAGTACACAGCAACACTGGAGCACAAGAGCCACCTCTCTCTAGAGAAAGAGATAAATACCATAATATAAAAGTTATATTATTCATCAGGTACAAGCTTAGCATGAAAATCAGATACAACAAATAGTGATAGTTTACAAGTGTAGACAATACATTTCCTTTCTGAGCAACCTTAGCTGAAATTTTCATACAGTCCAATTAACATTTTAAGTATGAATCCAATGTTCCCTCCAACTCTTAAAAGTAAGGGATTAACTAACTTGCTAATACAAGAGAAGTCAGCAAAGTATAAATGCAGATGTTGTTATTAGTACAAAACAGGGTACCTGTTTGCATAATCTGAAGGGCCAATTCTAAAAGGTGTGCTTGAAACGTGACATTTCCCAGGCCCACCATTATGACATCTTTACACACTGTCAGGTAGGCCTAGAAGAGAGGTACATAATTATAGGAAACTCAAACTTTATGTAAAGTAACCATTCTAAAACTCAAAATAATAAAACCACAAACTCTTAGCCAAGGTGTGAACTGAGAGCTGGTGTACCAAACTGGAGTTACTCAGTTCACACCTGTTGAAAAGCACGAATTCCAATCAGTCCTTCAAATGCTTCAATTACCCTTTCCCAACAGTAAATAGTTTCTCAAAAGGCACTAAGTCCTCTCTTTTTCACTCAGGCTCAGATCAAAGGCATTGACACTGATCATTTACTGAGGCAAAATATGACATCTCTACCTGCCTTTAATAGCAAAATTAAAATCAGCAGACAAAAAGAGCTTTTCCCTACAGATACACTGGTTGTTACATACTAAATAGATTACGAGATGGAAGCATAGACAGAGTGAAAACTTTTAATCAGTCTGTGTATATATGAGCTGGGTTGTTCAAAGACACTGACTAGGAGTGAAGTTAGCCAAATCTTTCACCAAAATCTGGTAAAAGCTCAGTGCTAAAATCCATCTTGGGTTAAATGAAATGTCAGAGGAATGCAACAGAAAACAATTCTGAACTAGCTAAAACCTCTCCCACATTATATCATCAAATGCTTTCTTTGAAGGCAAATCAAGATCAGGGGTAAGGGACACTGTGTGTCAAGTGATGACACAAATGCCAATGTAGTTTGTCTGAAAATTGCTACACCTACAGCTTTTCAAATTGAAAGCAGCTTGATTTATATTATAAGAATCCTCTAACCTGGATAATTAATTCGGAAACATCGCTGTGTTTTGCAATACCATCCTCTTGACCACTTGCTAATAAAAAAGGTACAACTTGACTTCTTATCCAAGCACCTGTCTCCTTCAGAAGTGAAAGGTGATCTTTTCCTTCTTCAGAAAACTGAAAAAAAAAACAAACCCAAAGGTAAGTTTACCAATTGTCTCTCCAGTTGTTTTGGAACTTCCTTTTACTGTCAACTGTAACTCCAGCTTATTTTGGAAAGCTTTAATCATACCTTCTGCTGAAGATGAATACTCAATCTGCAAAAGAGGCTGAAGGCTCTTAAGCTGGTTGCTTGATTCCAGCCACCAGAATCTGTTCCCTTCAGAATTGAGCCAAGAACTCTCTGAAATATCAAGATTTACATTTACATTTTTCAGAAACACCTGTCAAATGTTTCTTTACTCAACAGCTTTAAACAAAAGGTTAAAAAAAACCCCAAACCCATAAAAACAGCAAAGCATCAACCCCAAATAATCAACAAGCCTTTTTCAATGCCATAACTGATTTTCAGACTATTCCTTATTCACATATTCTAAAAATCAGGTCCCTTAAAAACACTCAAAACTAGATCACAAAAATTTTGAGACACCTAAAACTGAGAAGCTGGTTAAAATCTGCCATCTATAAACAAATCTGAACTACTTTACTTCAAGTTTAGAGTATTGGAAATACAAATCAAAAGGAAAATCTTTTTACAAAGGGAAAGGGGATAATGAGCTTCATTTATTTGTTCTTGCAGGCATTTTAGTTTGCCTCAGGCAATATATGATGTTAAGCACTAATTTTATAAGCAGTTTATGATAAGGAGAAAACTACCTTTGCAGTACCAAGGATTTTCAAAAGCTTCTTCAGTCTATTTTTAGGAACAGAAAGGAGGAAACCACAACTGACAGGATTGGTCAATAAATACTCAATGTAATCAACTGCCAAGTCTGGCTTTGATTCATGTGTTACATGGATACAAACTCGACGCCCAGATGTTTTAGTATTCTGAATTGGAAGAAAGAACAAAACCAGCACAACTCTGTTAGTATCTGACTTTAGAACTGATTTCAAAGCAGAATAATACAGCATTTAAAAGTCTTATTTTATTTTAAAAAACATGATGCCTTAAAGCAGTCTGGAAATTCCCCGATTCCCTGTCATATGCATAAGCACACCTTTGTTGGGGTGAGCGAGTCAGACAGCCAATCGCAGGCTAATTCCATAATGTGCCCCACTTGACCCCAGTGGCACAGGCAGTCGATCAGCATAGAATATTTGCTTTGGTCAGCTCCACTGTCAATATTTCTGAGTCTGGAAACCACACCACAGCTTAAAAGAAAACAGACAGACAGATACATTACCTTCACACCCATAAATGCAGAAAACATTTAGTATAATACAAAAAAGGATTCACCAATGACTTAGACAGACTCGAACATCACACATTTTACTGACTTATCACAGTTTCAGTGTCTTAATTTACCCAAAATATATCAGATTGTGAAAAATGAACGAATACAGCCAACAAGAAACTTCTTGTCATTTGCATTTTGGATTTCTAAACAGTACCTGAATGTAGGAATAGCACCAGGGGGCATAAAAGATGCCAGAATAATCAAGGGAGCCATGCACCGCTCATCCTAGGATAAAAGAATTACACTGTATGATGTAAAAGTGCACACATACAAGCAAAATTAAAGACATTACTGAAAAATTGTAATTACATTTCCTCAAATTCAGGATTTCCCTTTTCCACTACAAATGGAGCTGAAACTCAAAACAATATGTGGCTTGCAATTGGAAATGTCTGATTCCTGTTTTTGGAGGTCAATTACCAATTATCATATCCTTCACTTTTTGACAAACTGGCAGAATAACTACCATGAATAGTCATGGCTCCATTAGGTTAATACTCATTGCAAAAGAAATAGCAGCTCCACATCACTTTTTTTTTCCACCAGAGACTAAGGTTTAATTGCACAACCATGACACCATCTAACTATTCTCAATCAGTGCCTTAAATTAATTCACAAGACAAACTTATTGAAAGGACTCTAAAGAAAAGGATTCTTATATAAGGACGGCAATGTTTAACATGATATAATACATGGTCTAGGCCACAACATAATCTCACTCAGGTTATACAGAAACCAATCCATGTTAAGAACTCTTTAAAAATGATTTATCTCTATGTACAAGCTTCATGGAAACAGCCAAATGAAATTATCATCTACTTAGCCATTCCAAGATCTAAAACCTTTTTTTAAAGCTCTTATTTTTAAAAGAACTTTTAAAATATATTTGTAGCTTTTTCAGGAAAGAGACAGTCTGCTTCACTACTTTTAGGAACTAAGCCTCTGATGACAGGTCCTTTTAGATCCAAGCTGCCTATTCACTATATAAGAATATCAAAGAGGTTGCTTGCTAAAGCTGGATATTTTGTCTGTCCACCAGACCCTTTCAGAAACGATAATACATCCTCTGCAAAAAGATTTGAACATCTTTGACAACTTCCAAATGCTTTCAGGATACAGAGCACTTGTGTATCTGTGCTGTAGAATAATATGTAGCAATGAGCTGCTTTTCACTCCCCGATTATCTAAAGCAAAGTTGCAGTTGCAGGAACAGCCACTATATTTCAGGATACCTCAGCATAAAAACAATCAACTAAGAAAAAGATATCCGTACATAATCCATCCAAATTCACTGTGGATGGAGCAGCCACTATTGGCCACCCTCAGGATGGCATCGTTCTCAAGAATAACACTAAAATAATTAGAGAGAGCAAGGAGACTGACAATTTGAAAATGACTAATTTTAATTAACTTCCTATGTTGAATGAAAGCAATAAATAAATGCATCAGATCATTAGAGTGTAGATTCAAATTAGCAGAAACCTCAGAATCACAGAATGGTTTGGGTTCAAAGGGACTTTAGACCCAACCACCCTGCCATGGGTAAGGACACATTCCACTTAACCAGGTTGTTCCAAACTCTATCCAACCTGGCCTTGAACACTGCCAGGGATAAGGCATCCACAGCTCTGGACAACCTGTGCCAGTGCCTCACCACCCTCACAAAATATAATTTCTTCTTATATTTAATCTTAACCTACTTTCTTTTAATTTGAATACATTCCCCCTTGTCCTGTCCTTGCACTCCCTTGTAAAAAGTTCCTCTCTGTCTTTCTTGCAGGCTCCCTTCAAGCACTGGAAGGCTTCAATTAGGACACCCTAAAGCTTTCTCTTTTCCAGGCTTAATCCAAATTCTTTTAGCCTTTCCATTTAGGAGAGGTGCTCTATCCCTCTCATCATCTTGGCCATCCTTTGGACTCACTCCAGCAGGTCAGCAGGACATGTTTGGTTTTCTGGGCTGCAAGTGCACTCTGCCAGCTCATATTCAGTGTAAAAAGTCTCAGCTGCTTCAGTTGCAGCTGAATCATAAGAAGTGGTTCTGGTGGAAGAGTCTGGGGGACAGTGGGTAAGGAAAGCAGGTGGACTCTAATGTACACTGAGAATTTATTCTGCAATAGCACATTTGTATTTGCTGTTTTCCAAAAGTTCTAAAACATTCAAAATAATAAAACCCTAGGAAAACCTTACAAGGAGAGAAATTTATTGCATAAGTATTTTGAGCTGACTATTTAGATAATGGTTCATCAGTCAGACACTGCAGTTGGAGAACAGTTTCTTCCCATTTGTGGGATTCTAAGAAAATTGCTGCTGTCTATAGCTTATAGCAACAATGAAAGAAAATACTTAATGCCATAAAAATAGATAAAAGACATAAAACATGAAAGCATCTGAAGAAAATACTGAGAAAATAGAGGAAAATCTAGGCTTTCATTACCTGAAATACTTTAAAATATTCAGGAAGTACAGAAGCAAACTTCCTGATAGCATAATCCTTGGCATCTTCATTGTGATCTAGTGCTTTGCGGATGCTTCTCCAGAGTATTACAGTGATCTCCAACAAACTTGCCATGCTGGCCACATCATTTACTGACAACACATTATCCAGCACCTGAAATACAAACATTTAGAGGATATTACCCATTATATTTTCAAATAAAAATTTAAATTAAAATAAGGCTTTAAAGACACTAGAAGTCCTTCTAGACACTTTACAAAGGCACTGTGGTTGCTGTAGAACAGGAACTCCACAATTCAGTCTTAATCTCTCCTAACTTCACATATCTTCAATGGTAATTTTTAAAATAATTTAACTGCAAAATCAAACCAGTTTATAATCAGCACTGCAAGTAGTCAACTATTAATTTAAAATATCATTTATATTCCTTCTATCTTATTCTAGCTACTTAACCAGACTTATGCTACTGCAGGACATGAAAATCCAATAATGGCAGTTCTCCTCTTCCAATTCCAAAGATGCCCAAGGGCATTTCTGTTATATTCTGTCTCACATTAAGCACCACTGAAAAGAAGTTACCAGAATTTAGAATAGAGTGGACTTTCTTACACTGGTGTTCTCCTTTTCATTTCCATCTTCATCATCATCATCCCTGCTATCATTAAGACTCTCTTTCACTGCTTTCTGGATGCAGGCATTCAAGCAGCTCCGAATAGTGAGCATCAATTTAGCTACATTTAAATAGAATAAGAATAAATGAGACATTTACTATTTGCTAAGAATGTTGGTAATAAGTGTTTCTATTTACAATGCTAAAAAGCCAGTATTAAAAAGTAAGAAACAGAACCAGAAACAGCTATGAAAAAATGGAGAAAAATTCCTTGTAAAGGAAATGGAAAAAATGTGAATATGTTTTATATCCTCAAGTATGAAGAAGAAATGACAACATTATCATCAGGCTCTTTAATTTTATTATTAAAACAGTATACTAAAAAAACTCTAAACAACCACCACCTTATCAAGTCAAAATCAGAGGAAGCTCCCACAACTCCTATATCTAATCTGGCACAGCTGTTAACTGAATGACCCACATTCAAGAACATGCTCCTTCTGATGTCAATGTTCATTCCTATGTCAATTCCCATTCTTTGGCAAAGATGCCATCGCCCAACCACTGCATTCCTGAACAAGGAGCTCAGCTCTAGAAAAAGTGAAAGGGTTATGCCACTCTGGTGGAAGAACAAGAAGCTGATTTCATAATTGTGATTTCATAACCTTATCAAGATAATCAGTGAGAGGCAATGGTTTGGGCATTTTACCCAAATCACTCCAAGCTGATTACCTGAGTTTTAACAGAATTTTTCTGAAACAAAATTTTCTTGATTTTAATTGTTCCAATAGGACTGTTCTAAAAAGCAGTGACATTCTGGGCAGTACATGCTCTCTTCACTGAAACTTTCAGAAGCTTTCTGAAGGAAGACTTTTTAGATTTTCTCTAAGCAACTTGAAAATACTGATCCACAAACCCCAGATATGCAGATTATCAGATGTAAACACTTTTTCAGTTTCTATATAATCTTTCACATGAAGATCTCAAATCACTTAAGGCATCAGGATATTTGCTACCCTATTTCTACATGAGAAATAGGTATAAACTGAGATCATTTTAAGGTACGTGTAAGGAGAAAGGGGAACAGAAGGACCAGGTACCACCATAGGCTGGAATGTACAGTACAGCATCTAAGAACAGAGATTAAAAGCTTTGATCTCCTGATTGTTGAAAAAGCTGATGACTCTGCCTGCTGTGCTTATTGCTGATGTCAAGAATTTCCAAAACTACGAACTAATATTATACTAAATCCCCCCAAAAACTAGCAACAATGCACCACTGTTACAGAAATAAGAAGAAAAAAGCATTTACATAGCATGACATCAGTAATTCCAAACGCTCAGAAAGTTTTGTGCTTCACCTATATTGGTGGGGGCAGTGAATTCACAGGCATATTGATAGAACTTCCTGGCTGCTGCTGGATTCATCTGGATCAGAGTGACACAGCGCTCACACCACACATCCTCGGGCTGGGCACTGGGGAAGAAGGAGTTCAGCAGGAGGTTCACAATGCGCCGCGACACCGGCCGAGAGTCAGCTTCAAGGCGAGACAGCAGATGCTCCATGGGAGAGATATTCCAGAACTTTTGTGAAGTGAGAAAAAGATATTCAAAAAAGTTAAACAAAAATAGAGGAAAAACCCATCACCTTCATTAAGTGATTTCCATGTCAATAGTCTAATCAGATATAAAGAATATCAACCTGGAAAACATGAGCATTTTTTATTTTTACACCAACTTGTATTGGAGGTCAAATTCTGTTGCAATAATGTTATTTTGCTGTGCTGATGTTTTAAATCTCCTGGTATCTCTGACTCACTGCTAAAACTGTGGTTCAAGTATTTCCAGTTCAATACACCTGCAATACCAATGCAATTTCATAGATACAGGGAAGAACTATTTACTCTACAAGGATATCACCATAAAATATGAAGCATGGCACATAATGACAATAATTGTATTCTCCTCACAGGACAAAGTAGGACCAAACTACCTACAAAAATTGTGTACACTTAAAACCCTGTATGGATCAACACCCTTTACAAAACCATCCCAAACCTTACAATATTGAATGCATCCCATTCTTAGCAGAGCTCTAGTTTACTTGTACTACAGAAATCAAATGCTATGAAATTCAGAAAGACTACACAGCTGTTTTCCAGCTGTAACACTACATTTGTAGTTTTTGTGAGAAGATTCTGAATTAATTATGCTGGACAATTTCAAATTAAAACAAAAAAATATTTTTCAATGCTAAGGAACCTATTTTACTCTTGAGTAGAAATATTTGCACCAATAATTACCCTGTGGATTCAAGCTATGGATGTTCCTATTAAAACTGTCATAAAAAATAAGTTTAAAGTGATCCCAGGACTTACCAGAGATACACATTACAGTTCTTAAATCAATAGGGAGTTACTGAAAAACATCTAACAGTTACTAGGATTTTTTTTCTTTATATAAACCTGATCTTTCCTTCCCCTAAAAAATCCCTGACATTGAGAATTATCTTTTTTCTCTGTCTTTAATGGCAGCAAACTCAGAATAATTCAAAAAGTGACCTCAGTCACTCCTTGTATGGATTCCCCTCTACAGCCACCTTCAGAGGTTCCTCTGGATGCTTTTTTATGTCTTTATTAGGCTTAGCAAGAGACAAAACCATTGTTAAATTAAAATATAATATTGAGAGTAAGAAACTATTAACATTAGAGATTGGAATAAGAGCTCAAAGATGCTATAATGCCTGTGGCTGGACAGTATTGCCCTAAATAAGGGTGCACAGCAGAACACAAAATACATTACAAATTATTATAAAAAGACACCAAAATCCAAAGGATGTGCTCATAAAATAGAAACAGGCATTATAAAAATAGGAGAATAAAAGCAAAAAAGGTGCTGGGTTAAGGTGTTAGGCATTTAGAAGAGTTGAGTAGCTGAGGGAAGTGTGGCTGTAACCCTCTGCTCTCCCCTGCCCATCCAGAGAGAACAAGGGCCCACAGAGCACTCAGGATACCACAGATGTTAAGGGTATTACCATAGCAAAGCAGGTTATTTCTTTTTTAGGAACACTGCAGCAGTCTCAAAATGTACTTTTCTTTTTTTTTAAATAAATGCCTTGATTTTGTCTCGTTGCTACTTAATCAAGTGTCATTATCCTACCTTAGCAGCCTTGGTAGCCTTCACTTTGAGCAGCATGTCCAAAAAAGCCACTCGCACCTTCTCAGAACTGTCATGAAGACTGTGTTTGGTTGCAGGCAGGAGCTGTTCCAAGAGTGGGTGACTTAGCTTGTTGTCCAAAATTATTGGTAGGCACTAAAATAAAAAAATCAAATCCAGAAAGAAAAATCTGTAGCTAAAAATTGTTGAGAAGGACTATGAAACTTCTCATGTTAAACAAAGCAGGGGCAGACACTGTGCATGCTTACGTTTCTTGTAATATTCTTTGGTAAAACCTGCTTTGATTACTTCAAATTTACAGTGAACAGTGCTCAGTGAACTCACTTCAGCTGAATCAGCTTCAGAGCTACACTAAGACCATGGTCTTGCCCTCTGCCTGAGGATACACCAGCTCTCTAAAATATTCTGATTTCAAATTAAAAATACATGTTTCTTCCTAATTCATTTTTAAATCAGTACTTTCTGCTTATCCAGGATAGCCCCACCATGAAGCAGTAGTGCAGCAAGTGAGGATTAACAGGATGACAGCTTCAATTTAAGGCTGAACTGACACAGACACAAAATCTTCAAGTGAAAATGGTGCCTAGGGAGTTCATTTTTCTGTCCATGCTATCAGTTACTTCTCACATGCCAGAAAGATGTAGATGAACTATTCCTAACATAGTGAGCAATGCATGGGAGGAGGCATCACCAGACAAACTGTGGAATTATTTTCATCCATTCGAACCTCAGACACACAAAGTGGGATACAAAATCCTTATTATGCATGTCTTAGGATGCCTTCAATCCAGTGATGTAAGAAATCCTGGAACTCCATATAGTCTAAGCATCATTTCTAATAGCTAAAAAAATTTAATTATTGGGTTGAAACAGTGTGTGTACAACTGGAATTGAAAAACCTTAGAGTCAGAAAGCCAATCAGTTACTATTTCAAGACATTTGTATTTTCCAAACATGTGGCTTTTACAAAATGTGCAAAACTTCTATTTATTAGGAATTCTATTGCCTAAGACATTTTGAAGAACAAGTAACTTCCTTGATTTAAAGTGGCCTATACTAGAAACCTGCACATCAAGTAAAATAGAAAAATTACAATCATGATAAAAAACATTTACTTTAAAAACAGAGCATCGAACATCAGCAGATGTTATATCACATGCCAGATCTCCAGTTATCTTTTTTAAAAGATCAGCAAGAACTGTTGGAGGAATCATCTCCCAGTATTTAGATATGATCTGAGTAACTCCAAGTATCCCTGTAGAGCGGACAACTGGATGAGGATCTTCTAAGAGATTCTAAAGCAAACAGAAAAATAATACTGTGAGCATATGGGTTATTATGACTCTACTGCTGCTTGACCTGAGCCTATCATAAACCAAATGCATTCCATTACCTTTCAATCATTATGAAAACTGTTATACAATAAAAGAACTGTAAAATTAATAGTCCCTCAATGCATTTTACTATGAAGAAAACACGGAAATTTAAATCAGAAGCAAAATTCAGGTAACTATTGGCCAACCTTTTTCATTGGACTTTTGAATTATTTTTTTTTTAATAAATCAAGTCTTGCATTTGTGACTTAATTAAGACTATTTGGACTTCTATTTATATAAGTCTACACTCATCACTGTTCCTATGGAACAACGTAACAAGTTTGAAATTCATTCAGTTATCTGATGTCTACTCAGGAATTCCCCAACATTTTCTTAATGAAAATACTATGTCCATTCTCACCCATCTGGACTGGTAAGGAGATTTTTAGGTTCTCTCCATTATACTCAGTTTCAGAAGTATTTAGTAATACAGTACTGAACTTTCATTGAGTGCTTCCATAGTAACGGTGAAACTCTCCCCCACAATCCTAGGTTAAGTAAGGATCAAGATCATTACTCAAGCATTTAATCTTTCAAAGGCATCTCTCATTCGCAGATTAATGAATAACAAACCAAAATAGTTCCTTTTTAGAGTTTACAGTGCTGTATAGCATCTGAAAACATACTATAGAAATTTAAAATATTCATTTACTTTTATATTTTCTGTGCCACAGACCTCTATTTCCCTACAATTATCCAGAAATTCCATAAATTTTAATTGCATCAACATGTTTTTTCTTGAGCTAGTTCTGACAAAAGTTTCATGTTTAACATTTTACTTTCATTAAAACTTACAAAAAGTTCTTCAAACTGTTTCTGAATTTCATTGTCCATCTCGTCAGCAGTAAAACTGGGATCACGAACAGGAAAAGCATCAACAAACAAAAATGCTGCATTTGCTCGAACTTCTGAGTTTCTGGCCTGTTAAAATGGAGGAGAAGATATTTTTTCCATAAGGACCAACTGTTAATATCCAAAGGTATATCCTGCCAAATACTGTTTTCCAAACATTTAAACAAGTGTTTTAAATTAAGTAGATGGAAGAGATGAATCTATAAATGGATGGAAGAACTTAAAGTCACATATTAATGTTATTGTTTTATCTTACATTTCTACCCATTCAATAAAACCTGAGTTACTGTTACTATCAGCTTTCAAAGCACATTATCTTCAATGACCCTGAGGAATCACAGTCAGGGCCCTTCTGCTTTCTGTAATGCTGAATAAATTAAAAGCACTTGGGATTTCTCTTGGTGGCCTTAAAGCTCCTCTTCAGGACAGAAGACTCCTGAATTCATTCAGACTGGATTAATTAACTTGCTTGTCAAGAGACAGGTGATTTAATTGAAAAGCTCCCATCTATTTCTTCAAGCAAATAGTATTTAGTAACTAAGTACCAGAAAGCTTGGAGCGTAACTTGTCCAGCAAAAACATATTCAGTTCTGCATCTCTGCACATAAGTATTAGGACCATGTTCTGAGCTCCAGGCAGCTCATCAAGTATCTATGGGAAGCCTTACAACATTTTCCCATGTTTAACGATTTTCAGTGTACCATATATTTTACTGGTTGTAGAGCCACAAATGCAGAAAAGGAAAAAGAAAAAGGTGCAAAAAGGGTGCAAATTTAGACACTTATTCAGTGAAAGATAATTGATCCTGTGGACTCTTAAAGGACAGAAAAAGAGAGCAGGCAATGAAACCATGAAGAAATTCAAGGCATCTCAAGGAGAACGCTGAAATCTAACCACCTAACTACATTTTATTTATCAAAGATAGCAAATGCGGTGATTAAGAGCCTCTACTGACTTCTCTTGGAAAGAAGACTTGGAAGGAAGAATCTGGTCCAGATTTTGGATCCAATTAAAAAAAAAAAGTCTCTCAATATAACAAGCAAAGTAGGCCTAATTTTAGCAGCAAGTTGAACAGTTCAGGGAGATTCCTGATTATGCTAATAATTTAATTTTCTTTTTCCCTTGTCATAAATCACATTGAGATCAAAGGCAGGGAAAAGAAACATGGTAATAACCATGTAATATTTAGACTTAAATAAACTAATGACAAATAAAACCAGAAAAGCACAAAAGAAATGAACAACAGTTACTTCATTTACAATCTGTCTTGGGTTTCTCTTCTTGTCCAATCCTGATATGGTGGACTAGGACCATAACATTCCAAATTCTTCAAGTCAACAAAATTACTAGGAATTTTAAATTGAATACTACAGAAGCAAATAAAGTACATACATACATTCTTTAGTTAGGGGCTTGTATTCTTCTTTATTTATTATAGATAATGCAAACATTTTAAAGGTGAAAAGATTGTAATTCTTAATTGTATCCTATAAAGTTGTAGAAAAATCCTTTAGCTCTGAGCTTGTCTATATTTAAGAATCAACACATAACAAGATAATATGTGAATTCAGGGTGAAATAGCTCTTCTGCACTAACATTGCATGTGAAAATTAATTCAAATATGGTTTTGTGCAATAACCTAGACCTTGTCTACCATAGCCATTCCAGAAAGTTAATTTCCATAAACTTTTTAAGTGCATTACACTGAATTCCATTAAGCTCACTTTTAATTCTGCACTTAGTACCCACAGCTTAAATTCCTGCCTTTAATTAACTGGAATTTATCCCAAATGTATTTGCATATTCAGGCTTGTACAATGTCTTCACAGAGGTAAAACCTAAGACTTTAAATTCATGGACTGTTTTAATCCATACTGACTTTTCCATGCCAGAGCCTGCAGTAATTTAAATTACTAATATTTCTTTACCATTATGCTTGTACTATTTTGAGAAACTTTCAGAATCTTTTGAAACAATATTTTAAGTTTTCCTTCAGTTAATTTTCACTTCTTTTAAATTTTAACTGGTCTTACAGGTTCTGAAATTAACTTCAAATTATTTAAAACACTGCATCCCCAGAACATGTTCATTTAAACATGTGGGATGTTAAAAAAATTTAAAAGACAACTAAACACTTTAAAGGAGTCACTTCCTTCAACAGCTTGAATTTTTGGAGGAGTGGTTCTTGACTTTTTCAGCTTGATAAGAAATAGCTTAATCACTACTTATACTAAATAATAATGTTTTTATAACCATATATCTTCTCATACTAACGACCAATCACTGTGCATCTCTTTTATGTTTGTATGACACTTGATTTTCATAGTAAGAACATGAAAAAAAGATTAAGAAGATACATATGGGTTTATATTATAAAAAACTTAGGAGTTTCATAAAGGGTTTTATAAAAGATGTGCTGGTAAAAGCCCCAACAGAAGCTTGTGCAATTTAAGTACTTGCAAGACAAGGAATTGAAGAAAAAACAGAGATCTGCATTACAAATATGCATTCTCAGTTTAAAGATTTCTGAGATGAAATCAAGTAGTTTTAGCATCAACAATTCTGGAATTCATTGTATTCTTACAACTGAAGTATTTTTGCTCTCTGCAAGAAGGAGGAGTAAAGAGGCCTGGTGTGTCCTTTCTGTTTCATAAACAGTGTTCAAGAACAGAATTTGTTCTTCACTATATTAAATTAGGAATTTGGCTAAAATAGGAGCATCAAATTGGTTATCTAAAATTAAACTGACGTTTCAAGTTTTGGAGTTGAATCCGTAACAGTAAGAACACTTACAAACTTCCCTTCTTAGTTCTGCATCTTAAACTACTGGTGATTCTGAGTCACAGCAACAGCTCAAAACCCCAAATATTTAATGCAGTACTCCATGATTTGCTCTAGCAATGGAATCATTAGTGATGTGAAAATTGTGAATAGCAGGTGTTCAAAATTTCAACAATTTCTGGAATTCTCCCATTGTCTTGCTGCAAATCAATCAGTACCCTTTTTTCCCCACCTGCCACACCTTCTGTTGTATTTCTCCAAATAAATGTATGCAGATTTCATAAGGTTTGACAGAATCTTCCTCCAAAAAGTAGTCCAGTCTCACATTTGAGTCCTGGGCTTTGGCAAGTGACTATGACTCTCCACTGACAGGCAGCAATTCCCTTAAGAACGGAATACTGTATTTTGTTAACTTACAAAAATGTTCATAAAATCCAACTAGAAAAAATGAATTCCTAAATTAATACTCTAATAAATTCATTGAGCTGTATTCTAAGGCTGTATTCTAAGGTAATTAATCAACAGGTGAGACTAAACCATCCTCTGAACATTGCTGGCTTTGATCAATAAAACACTGATAATTCCCTAAAGATCTTGGAAAAGATAATACAAGGTTACACAGAATTTCACACTGAAAAGGTAAGAATACCAACTGCAATCCTGGAAAGCACTCTAGGTACCTGTAAACAAAAGTGCATTTTACAAGTAAATTATATTAACAAATTAGAACATTATTGTACATGCTATGCCTAATTACAACTTGCAAAGTTACTCAGCTACATCTGTGATGTTAAATACTCATTTTGGTTTTTGTGGCTATTTCATTTTAAAAGCAAATAATAAAAACAGAAGATGTGGAAGGGACCCAAAATTTAATAGCTGAAGACAGACAGTTGTATTTCTAAAAAGGAAAATTACCTTTAGTGCTCTCCAGAGGATGGGCTGATACAATCTATAGAGCATTTCTTCAACTCCTTGACGGACTTTACTTTGTTTATGAAAATAGCTCAGCATCTAAGAAAAGACAAATAAAACAGGCCCCAAAGCCATTTTAACAATCTACACTCAGGAAGTGGTAAGGGGCTGTTACATTTCATAATTATCTAAGACCAGAGTTTTCATGCTATGGAAACGATAAAATGAAACACATTAATTGACCCTCTATCTTATTAGGAAGTCTCAAAAATAGTAAAATTTTAAACATCTAATAAATATAATATTTTATAACTTTATAGAGTCAATAAGTTTATATAAAGATCAACAACTAAGAAAAAAACATGGCTAGAGAAGTTCACAGAAACATCTAATTTTTTGGTACTGTAAAAAATTATTTCTAAAGTAATTGGCAAAAATACTTTGAAACCATGAAATTATGAACTGCAAATAAATAAGCTTTTTCTCTGTTAAGAACAAAGGAACTTATCTGGTAAGTGGAGTTATCCAAATATACATGTACAAACCTAATATATTTTTTATGCATAGATGAAAAGCAAATATCAGCACACTTTGGGACTCAAACCAGTGCTTAATTAGCTAAAAATCCTGTTATTTTCTGTATCTGAATTATGCAGAAAAAAAAAAAAAAGAGAAAGTTGAAGATCAGAGCAGAGAAAGAAAAAGGACATAATGTAACTTGATATGAATTCCTTCACTTTGAAACACTAAGCAGTTTGAGCTGTGTTCTAAGGTTGGTAATTAATCAGAAAGTGAGAAGAGATCATCCTCTGACCATTTCTGGCCTTGATCAATATAGCACTGATAATTCCCTGAAGATCTTGGAAAACAGAATACAAGATTACACAAAATTTGTAAAGAAGCTGACCCTCTAGTGGTCAGTTCAAATTTATTCCAAGACCTACTCCTCTTGCAGCCCAAAGACATATTTTTTCACTGTCCTCTTTCAAGATCATAAGCTCCAGAGTCTGAAAAACATGAAATGCCCTATCAAAAGCCTGTTCCATCAATCAGGAATCACAGGACAAGGAAATCCTATAGCTATGAGAAAACAAAACAGAACAAACCCCCTAAAAAAACCAACCCCAAAAAATCCAAACCAAAACAAAAAAAAACCCACTATAGTATTGTACACTGGTATGTCAAGCTGTATACTGCACACAGTATACACTCAAGATTCTGGGTATTTGGAAGAAAGCATTGGAGGGAAAGGGGCATTGATCAAATAAAAATGTCTTAAAAAGCCTTGTGCATGTCTCATTCTGCTTCAAATGTTCTGCTCAAGACTGAATGCCACAGACAGACAACTAGAATCAAAGCTTGTCCCTATAAACATATATAAATCCCCTACATATAATAAAGAAAAAAGCTAAGTTTCATTTCAGACCTGTCTACTAAATTTTCCTCAAGAAGGTTATGACTTTTCATCCCTGTGATCATCTATGGAAAGGTCAATTCTACAGGTAAAGAAAGTTTAGATAACAGACTGCAAAATCTATTTCTGTCACTCTGGAAAATCCTCTTCTACTTTTGAGCAGCAAAGACAAATCTGGTGCAAAACTATAAGCATGTTCCTCCTAAAATTTTTCTAACACTATTTCTCAGAATATGCTATTTTTAAAGTATTTGTGTTGGGTTGACCCTAGTCACCAGCTAAGAACCCACAGCCATGCACATACTCCCTGCTCAGTGGGGAAGAAAAAGAATTGGAAGAGAAAAGCAGTTCATGGGTCAAGATAAGGAGAGTTTAATAAATGAAGCAAAAAGGACCAAAAAATCCCCAAAGGAATGATGCAAATGCAACCATTCACCACCTGCCACAAGCAGACCAATACTCAGCCAGCCTCCCAGCAATGGCTGCCTCTCCAAAACCCACCTTCCCTCAGTTTGCTGAGGGAATGATGGTTATATGGCATGCAATATCCTTCTGGTCAATTTGGATCAGCTGTCTCAGCTGTGACCTCCCAACTTCTTGCTCATGCCCACCCCACTCCCAAGGGAAAATGTGCAGAGGAGAAAGCCTTGAGACCACACAGGCACCGCTCAGCAGCAGCCAGAACATTGCTGTGCCACCAGCACACCACAAACAGGCACACACAGGCTGCTATGAAGGAAAGTATTTCCATTCCAGCCACACTTGGTATGGTATTTTAGTATGAAATGGAGATTTTCCACTTTATAGCAACTGATCTCATTTTGATGCTACTAGTTCATGTCATGCTTTCCTGGAACTTACTTCTCTAACTTTCGAATGAACAGGAGAACTTCTGGGAAGATGAATTCCATGATGCATGAAATCTTGAATGCAATTGTATTCAATAACCTACAGTAAAACAAACACATGTTCCTGTTAACACAATAAAACAATAATAAGTACTGTAGCTGTTCAGCAACTATATCTTTCCCTAAAACAAGCAACTGAAAATAGTATCTGCTATTATTTCTTACTTGGCTTCTGCTTTGCCCAGATTTTTCCATGCTGGGGGCCTCAGTTTGTCTCAACTTATTTTAAAAATTTCAGAATATACATAAATATATATGTGTGTATATCCAATTGTCAGAAGCTAAAAGCAGAGTAAATAAGAGTATTTTGGTATCTGAAATTTTGCTCTAGCATTGTTGTGATCTGTAATTATGCCTTTAATAATTTCCATGGAAATCCACAAAATGTAGATACGTACTTGAGCTATCAACTATACAGACTGGCACATAGTGAATAAAAGCTTCAGTAATTCAGCTAACAGGTATGTTTATGTTTATGAAAAATGTGTATATGCATATTTGTATGAACCGATATTTCAGCAGCAGAATTAAAGGTGTTTAACTGCAGCCAAGCTGATCTCAGTTGGGAAAACATTCAAAGCATGACATATAGTTACTCCTTGACACTGCTGAAGAGGCCCTTTCCTTAGGGAAAAAAAAACTCTTTAAGGCTTGTTAAAGGAACCTCTCTGGTGGAAAATCATGAGTCTTTCCCACCTTGAAATTCAAAACTATCCAAATGAAATTTCAAGTATAGTGTTACCTCTATGAATTCTACTGACACCTTCTTCCAGGCCCTGAAGTAAACTTCTGCAATGTATTCCACCAAGGCTCTATTAACATATAAGAAACCCTGTCAAGAAAGCATGCTAACCATATCTGTATAATTCATAAAGGTGAAACATTAAGTTTTGCATAAGAACCAATACTGTTCTTAATTCTGTGCATCAAATTGGTTTTTAGAAGAAATTATCTTGATTTCAAGTCTACACCCATAATTACCAAGTTAACTCTTAATTAATTAACCCAAGCACTATTACATGATACTTGAAATATCTCTTATGATAGGAGAGTCAAAGCATTCAGAGAAATACTTGACCAGTTATGTCATGAAGAGTGCCTTAAATTCTTTATAGACATGTACAGGAATATATTATTCTTCATGAACGCATTAGAAAGCCTCTGATTTTAATACATAGAATTACTTCAGCAATATTTCACTGAATAAACAGAGAAAAAAAAAATCCATATTTTTTATCCATCAGCCAAGTTCTCAGGCTATGATTTATCCTGCAAGCCACTTCTTATTAGAATGCTTTATATAGAAACCTAGAAAATTAAATTAGAGATTACTCATAGGAAAAATAGAAACCCTTTACAAAAGGAGAAATGGTCCTGAATCCTAACACAAGCACAGCAAATAATGCAGACCAATTTCTATCCAAAGTAATTTGCTTTAGCTAATGGCAAATAAACATTTACTGCTACTAAAACTGTACACCCAGGCATGTCAGAGCTATTATTAAATGAAGTTGTTGAAACAATATAGTAATATTCAGAAGATTTGTGGGTTTCTGGATACTGATTTTTTTTTTTCAATACACTAGGTATTTTTAGAGTAAGATAAGATTTTAGACAAGCTCTTACTAATTAAGTACTCTAACTGGGATGCATACCTTGGAAAGAATTGTAATTGGTTTTTAACAGTCCCATGTATCATTTTAATGAAGTTTATATTCCAGCTGAACAAAAAACTTAAGAGTCTTCTTCCCTGTGGAGAGGGAAAAAGAGGAAAAATCAAACAGAACTCAAAGCTCAGAAGAATACCCAATTTAAGAGCTACCGCAAAAATCAGCAAATACAAAGGAAATCCCATCTCTAATTTTAAAATGCATAGGTGAAATGGAAAAAACTATTTAAGATTCTTAATTATTAAACAGAATTCAAGCACTAGTTTTATTCATACTGTAGAAAAAACACAAAACAAATGAACGTGTGGATCATGTATCTGCCTCCACTCTTTCCATGTCCTTTCTGTTTTGGTGTGCCTTCAAGCAGCAGTCCAGAATGACAGCAGACTGTGCAATCAGCACCCTCATCAAGGCTGGATCAGCGAGCTCTTCCAAGTGCAATATCATCCCTGCATGACACTGGAATGACAGCGAAGGCATAAATAAAACACCACAACTCTACCAGCACTGGACACAGAAGTATTTTTAACAAAGCCACAAAGAACAGCTGGGCCACTGAAGAAATTAAATGGCTTGGTCAGAAAGGACAATTTCTTTCCTCTTGCCACATGAAAGGTAATGTTGCGAACCTCCTGGAGCTGCTTTCATTCATGAAATTAGAAACTATTTTTCCCAAATTAATTTTCTTCCATTTTAACAAGTCAGGAACAATGATGACAAATCTGATGTGCAATAGAATTTTGTAACAAAAGGCAGTGGAAGGCTGTGGATGAAGGAAATAAGCCAATCCTCTTCCAGAACCAGCAAGATCTGTCCAAGGAATTGGAGTCTTATACAGTATGTGTACAGGCAGCTTCGCTCTGCCTTGTCTTACAGGTGAGGGTAAGACTTCAAAATGTCAGATCACACATAAGGGTAAGTCAGTCAGTTGTAAGGATCCTTTTTATCTCTCAACTTTCTAGCTAAAAGTAAATTAGAAATATTAATAAAGGAAGTGCCGTAGTAAAGAGCACATTGGCAGAAGTGCAAAAGGGTCACTGAATAAATAGCAGAGGTCCAGAGGCACTTCCATCGAGAACTGGCCCAAGAGTTGTGTTCACACCTAAGACCAAACAGAGAAAATAGAATGCCAGACACACTTGGAGTTGGGGAGGGAGATGGAAGTCACAGACTAGGGGAGGGAGATGGAAGCACATAGCCAGAAACTGCACAATTATAGCTGAAATGCCTTTGGGTGAAGAAGGAACTCAGAAGCTCATAAAAATCAAGACTTAAAGGCTAAATACAATGTCAAGGTTTTTGGCTTCAAGTCTGATGGAATCCTTCCTGTTGTCAATGAGAGTTGTCTCTATCTCCAACTTTGGTGGCCTAATATAAACATAGAGGAGACCCACATCAACATCCCTGACAAAATAAAAGGTCAAGGGCGTTTTGACTTACAGTTCTTCCCTCCACAAGGCAAGGATGAGGACAAACTCATCTCATTTTCTACAACCTCAGCAGCAGGATAGATGATAAAAAGTCAAAAAATAGATTTCAATGAATTCTTTTTAGCCTTAGGTTTTAAAAGATTGAGCCTGCTCCTGAAAATGATAAGTGCCTCTAGCTTAATCTGCTGCTTGTGATTAATGGATCTGAAATAATTATTGGTAACAACATTCTCATTATTGTGAGAGGTAACTTGGTGATAGGTGAATCTGTTATCTGTGAACTTGTCATATTTGGGACTAATGCAGTATCAGAGTGTTGAGTGTCTGGTACTGCTGTGCTTGTGGACACAGAGCATGTGACTTTGTTGTTCTGCACACACAGAGAAGGTGGGCAAGGAACGAGTACAACAGACCCACCTCTAAAACACAGTAGCGTGCTCTGCAGCTGTTTGACTGGAAACCCCATCTGACTAAGAATGCTTTCATAAATCACAGAGAGATGAATTCAGAGGATCACTCCACTAATGCAGCCTGATGCTAAGCCTCTGAGAAATATTACTGTGTGTTGAACAGCACAGCCTGGGAAGGAAGAAACACTGAACTCCCAGATCTTGCAATGAATTATAAATGTGCAGTTCTCTATCAATTTGATCTGATTTAGAACAGATAGACTGCATTCCTGACTCTTCCCTTCCTTCAGCCTTGCATATAATAAACCATTCCAGACAGTTAAGCTGTCTGAAAAATAATCTTACTAGGAGAAAACAGCTACCTCCTTCAATCAACCCATGACATTGCTGCTTGAACATTACACTATGAAAAGGAAAAGATAAATTCTAGTCCATGGCAACACAGGATCATTGCAACCTGGAGTTACAGCAGCTTAAGCTACTACAGTGCTGCCCTCTGGGATACTGTATAAAAGCTAGGATTACTTTTCTTAGGAATTGCAGAACAAGTCTGCAGACACTAGGCCTGATACACAGAAGCTCACTTTCAACTCAAAAGCAATTAATACATCACGTTGATACTTGGTATTACTACAAGCATTTTAGAAGCAATACAGGATGCAAAAAAAAGTCCAGCAGAGATACTGGGGGAGTTGGCTGGTTTCTTGCTGCTACAAGAAATCTATCATTAGTGAAATGAGCCGGGAAGGGAAATTAGAGAACATGCATGAGGTGCGTTACCACTGCAACTCAACTCCCACAGCATGCAAATCCCAAACAAAACTACTTGCAACTGAAGTACAATGGCCTCACAGCAACAGGAAAATGCTTTGAGCACTCTGAATCTCCTGTCTGCAGAGCTAGGAAAATCCAAGTCAGTTCCCATTCTGGGTAAGTACTGAAAGTTCATATAGTGAGACTGGATTTCTGCTCACAAATCTGAGATATGTGAATTTGGATGTTTAAGTCCTTGAAATGTTAATTGTCTGGAGAGTAATTTATGTGATCAGCTGTTTAGTTACTGTTTTATGGAGCTGAATTGTTCTGTTGACTCTGCTTACTAGGGTTAATATGGCACACCCTAAACAGAGAGCAATTTTACATGCCCAGATGGTTTTCCAGAAGGCAGAGATCTATGACAGTGTTTAACGTGCCAGCCCCACATGGATGTCTGAAGCAACTTAGGTCATTTAACGTAGCATGGGTCATTCATTAGGCAATCAAATCCTCCCCAGAACCCGTACTGACTATGCTCCTGCACAGATGTCTAAATTTATTTCAGACACTTAATTTAACTGAACCCTGTCCTGGGATCTTTCCAGAATGCTTCTCCTTTTATTTTGAACTGCTATCCTCCAGGATGTAAAGTGTCTTGTGTTTTCGGCTGGCATGGCAAGGGTTCGGTGGTGGAGGCCTGCAGAGGTGGTTTCTGTGCCAGAAGCTTTCCCTGTGTTGATAGACCCAATGCCAGTGGGCTCCAAGGCAGACCCACCACTGGCCAAGGCTGAGCCCTTTGGCTACAGCTGGGAGCTGCAGCCTTCAGCCAGTCCTTCCAGCCAGAAAGCAAAGTATCCAGAATTAAGGATTTAAACCACTAATGATCAGACAGAGCAGAGAGTGCAATAAGGTGCTCTCTATATCCACCCAGAAAGAGATGGGCCTATGAAAATGCAAAGGCAATAAAATGTCAAGAACCAGAAATCCCTGGGAGAGTGAAGAGAAAAATGTGCAGGAAAACGAAATGTGCAAAGCCTGGCCAAATCCGCACATTCTTGTGGAGCAAAGTGGATGAGTTTTAATACGCCAGGAAAAATATTCATTACTGATTACCACTGCTTTTCCCCCCCATATTTAAAATAATACCCACAACAAACCCACAACTTTTATACTCTCTCACTCAAAGATTCAAGGTGCAAGCTTCCTTTAGAAAAGCTGTGTATTAATTAGCACATTATACTAAAAGTCTCACACGATGTGGAAGAAAAAAAGAACTACAAGTATTTGCTTCTGAAGCCTAGCTAGCAGTTGTATTTTACATATATTTACCAATTATTTACTGTGCCTATAATGAAGATGAAATATTAATACAGTGGATTCAAATATTACAGAAGAAAATACACAGAATCAAATACAGCTAATGCATTTTAAGTACTGTGAACACACACAAGTACACACTTTTTCCAGATGACAAAAAATGGCTTAAAATTAAATACACCAAGGACACAAAATTAATTGTAAACTCTGTCAATAAAGCCTTTCCTGTCTTTCCTCTTTCCACCCACATTTCCTCTCCTTCCATTCTCACCTCTCATATTGCCTTGGTACATCATAGTTTTAGTCAAAACTAAAACAGCTTAAAATATCGTATGCAAGTAACAAAAGCCCCACCGACTTCATGGCAAGTATCCAAACATTTGGATGTTGGATCCAAACTCTGTCAAACACTTCACATAATTCCTTTGCTATCTCCATTTTTAAAATTACATAGCCTTACACCGTCACAATTATGCAGCAACCTCAGGGATCATTTTATGACAGAAGTTCATATATTCCACAGGAAAAGGAATATATCTATTTTACACATGCAGGGAAGAGTCAGCACTTCAGAGACAAAGTCTGGTGGTCTGGCCACCTAACCAGAAAAAAGGCTTGGACACCACAATTCTGGTGCACAGGCACAATCTAAAAACAACAAAACAGCAACTGTTCACTGAGAGAAATCTATGTAGTTAAATAAAGTAATTCTCATTTTTCTGTAAAGTTGGGTTCTTTTTATGGCAACACAATCTTCTAGATGGAGTAATTTAGAAGGAAAATTATTTTGCTACAGTTACTTGTCTTGAATAAAACAAAAACTGCTATAAAAAAAGAGAATTACACCAGGGAATGATTTTAAGTATCCAAAGAAATTCACTAGAAGCAAAGCACTTGATTCTTATTGCCTCAGGATAAAAGAACTGGACTGAAGATTTAGACATAAACTTTCACACTTTTGTCTGGAATAGAAACAAGTTTTACAAATGAAACAGAGTATCACCATTTATAGCTTGGAGTCAGAGCTGATTTGTCTCACGTTGCTATCTACTGTACCATAAAAAAGACAAACTGCAAAACTATTAAAAGCAACAAAAGCTCACTGGCACAAAACCACAGTAAGATAAAAGCTGGCTTACCTCTTCTTTCTTAATGTGTTTTACACTCATAAAACACTGAAGCAACAAGTCCTTGACTTCATTACTCTCATCTGAATCATAATCAAAACAAAATAATGCCTGATGTAGATTCCATACACGAACTATATCTGCACCCTGACAGGAAAGAAGAAGCCCACATTAGAGTGAAGTAGCTTTGCTTTAATGCAAAGCAGCATTGAAAGGATTTTAAATAATGATCTTGAAATGCATTGTTACAGACTGTGAAATTATGGTTATTAATTTCATCACATTACTGTGAAAAATATTTGTAAATGTAGAAATTCTGACTTCCAACAAATGAAGACATGCTCAAGTACAGAAAATTGCCATTCTGTGCAAAATATGGAAAAACCACATCATTTCACTTTTTAAACTTCATACAATTCATGCAGTTAACAGGAAAAAACAGGGAAAAGACATAAGGATACATCCACTGGGTTAGTGCAAAAGATGTGTATCACAATACTCCAAGTAACTCACACATTTTGAAAAATGAAAAAAATTATTTGTAGAAAGATAAAAAGCAAGAGAAGGTGAAGCTTCCCACAAAAGCTGTTTCTATGCTTAGCTGAATGCAGTACTTAAAATTTGAGCTGACAAAAAGTTAATTGCAATAAAAACCCTGGTCATTGGACTGGACAAAAGAGTGAAAAGATGAAGAGGAATGCAAAAAAAATTAAAATCCAGTTCACTTGTGAAACTGATGCCAAAAACCTTTAAAACTTGTTCTAGAGAAGGCAGTGTTTTATTGGAGGGATTATCTTTCTTGAAATATTCAACAATAACCTGAAAGTCAACAGAGCCTCAGCCTACCGTAGCAACTTTATTGAGGCTTTTTCTCAGCAGAATGACAAACAGAGTCTTCCCCAGCTGCTCCTTCCCCTCCAGTCCCTTCTCCCACCACATTTCACACACACGTTGGATGGCATCCTGTAGGATTTTTTCAGATGCAGATAATGCAGGAAGAATACCTACAAGAGTAATGAAATAATTATTTACTGCAATGAACCAAGTCATTCCTGTAAAACAGTAGTCTGTTAGCACACTAACTCCACCTCACGGTGTCAGCTTCCTCCTGCCGCATTTACACACTTTCATGGCTTATGCTTACTGCAGTATTTAGGCAACTCTAAGGTTTGGCCCAACTCTTTGGATCAGTGACAATGAAATATTGAGTTTCCCTTAAAAGTATTATAAATCACAGGATAATCAAAGTTTCCTTCCACTGGGTGAACAGCTGGGAGAAAGAAAACTATTTACATTCCAACTTTGAAATTGTGCAGCTGATTTTTAGGTAAACACTCCCTTAATTTTGTCTCATAAATACGAACTCAAACCAGCACCAACTTTTCTCCTGTGAATTCTGTTTCATAGGCCAGCTGGATTTCAGTCAGATCAAACAGCCTCTGTAAAATGCTGCATTCTGTACAGAGAAGCACTCACCATTTAATATAAAAACACATTCTACAAGAGCTCTGTAGTTTACATTTTCATCCACTGCAGGTATGGAAGCAGTCACAACAGCTGCCACTCCTTGGATCACTGCTACAGTCTGTTTCTGAAAGAAAGCAATGCTGAGGAAACACTTCTGCAGTTTGTTTTGGACTCAGAAAATAATTCAAACAAGAAATGAACCTTAGCAACAGAGAGCAAAGCTGAATTGTTAATATGCTTCCATTTTGAAGAAGGAGTATACTGGCACCCAAAACCTATCAAATAAGAGGCAAATGGATAGATTTTTAAAGTACATAGTTTCAAAAAGTTTGAAAAGGGTTTTCAGCTCCAGCTAGTAGGTAACTTTGTGACCACACATGTGCATCCATTCCTGCACTAAAACCCTCATCTGCAACAAACCCACTCAAACACACATCCACTTCAGAGCTGAAAAGGCCCTAACTAGCAGGGTCTTGTGTAGCTCAGGGATGTGTACATCTGGTGACTTTCACTCCAAGTGTAATTCTACAGGCCTCTGAACAGATGACTGATTTTTCTACTAGCCTCTAGGTTTCTCTAATGATTTTCCCACTGCATGTATTTTCTTCCCCCCCAAAATTAAATAACCTTTTCCCCCAGTATTCTCAGGGCTACACAGAATACAGCATAGAAGGCAGTACATAAGGGTCTGAGTCAGAAAAATTCTATATATTCTAAATTTGTGGAAGAAGCAGTCAAATCTAGATTTCATGATGTACATTAAATAAAATGACATTACAAATCAGGTAGTGAATTTCTTATACTATATGCCAGCTACTTAAACTTAACATCTACAACATTAACATTTGTTTACTAACATGAGACATAGAAAAAGCCCATTCAACTCTAAGAAAACTAAGTCACATCTTAATTAAAATTACGAGCACATCTAGTCTTTTAGAGCATAGACCAATCATAAGTTCAGCTTAACATGAGCATAAATTAACTCATTTAAAAAAATGAGCAGGAAGGTGATATTTGGAACTGATTTTATTTGATAACCCTTGCATGTTTTCAGATGTTATGGAAATATTCCATTTTATTTCCCAAAAAACACAAAACACTCATCATATTTTCATTTTACAAGATTCTTACCATTTCTGGAACTATCTCAACTTCCATGGCATCATCACTGTCACCATCTCCAGTCCTGTGCCATGTTTCCACAGGATTCTCCATTAAGCTCTCTGTCAATAGCTGTGTCAACCTCTGCCATAGCACTTCTTTTTGCTTTCTTGGCAATTCTTGAAGTAGCTCATTCAAGTCAAAATGATCAAATTTGTTTTTCTATAAATCATCAGAAGATAGTACACAATCTCAGATCAGCAAAGTGGCTTATATTTCATCATCATATTTTCTACATTTAATCTGGGTTTTTACATTAATGATTGACTTATATTCCTCTGCATTTATAGAGATAAAATACCTTCTAGAAGTTATATTTTTTCAAAATAGCAAAAGAAATCCCTGCTAATTAACTCTTTATCATGAAGCAAGAGTGCTGCTTTTAAGACAAAGTCTTTAGCCCTTGATAACAATGAAGACACTTCCATACTCTCAGAAGTTCAAAACTGCACAGAATTTAAGTCCCTGATTATGTCTTTGCTCTCTTATGTATCAATTGATGACGGCTGTTGAAAGAAAATCCTTAGGCAAGGACTGGAACTGTAGCAGTCAGTAGAGCCATAGGGACAGCACTAATATGGGATATGATCTCCCCACATCAGAGCTCTGCACCCTGCTCTGTCTTAGAGCCCCACATCAAACCCAGCTCCTGAGCCCATTGACCCCACACCTCTGACAGGAAAGCCACCATCAATCTCCAGTAGAGACTGCACCACAAGGCTGAGCTGAACTATTTCCTAGTAAGAATTCTGCTAGAAAAATTTACCTTAGAGACACAAGGAATCTGTTAGCTCCAAAGAAGGAGCTAGGACAGGGAATATGCAGAGAGAAGATAAGAAGGAAGACCAGGCCTAGTCAAGAGAAAGAACAGATAATTTCTGAGATGTAATTTCCAATATGGAAGTGAATGTTTACTGGGTCAAAAACACTTCAGAGCAAAGAGGGAGAATGTCCATGATCTCAAAATAAATGTATTTTTAGCTTGCAGATACACTGCAAGGCATCAAAAAGAGACAGTCAAAGGTAAAAACTGAAAAGAATGAAAGAAGCAGCAGTAAGTATCAGAAAGTTCTCAGAAGGATATGAGAAGAAAGATCCTGTTACATATTTATCCTATCCTACACCTGAAAACAAATACAATAAACCAAAGGCCTCACAGGGAGTTCTGCAGCCCTGTGCTTTAAACAAACCCAAAAGATAGGATATTAAGATTGTACCGTTTTGAACAGAAAGAATCAACTCGTAATAAGATCAGTGCTTTTAGATTTTTCTTTGGGATGATATGAGACAGAATTATTCCAAAATCTATGAGGAGAAAGGATGACAGTGAATGACAATCATATCTGTGATTCCTATTTTTCTGTCTAAGAAATTATTCTTATATTCTTATTCTAAGAAATTATTCATATATTTTCTTGAATTGGAATAGGATTTAGTGGAAAAAACTAACAGCATCTGCTGAAGATCTCAATGAAGAGCACCACATTATGACCTTTTTAAAATATTACAAAGGAAAAAATGAAAAGCCCATGAGAAACCTTGACAGAAAATTAGTAAAGCCCTGGAAATCTAGAAGACACAGATGAATCTAAATATTTATAGAGTGTGGAAAAGAAAAGTTCAAGGGGGAAGCAAAAAGGGGGTTGGGGCGTGGGTAGAAAACAGACACTGAAAGAAGAAGTGATGCTAAATACTGAACTTTGAAGAGAGTTTAAAAAGTAAATTCTAAGGCTAGAGTACCAACTAAGTACCAAATATAATACACAAACTAAGGGAAGCAGTGAAGCTTTATTGATGATCTATTTAACCACAACCTCCTCCAGAAAAGCAATCAAGAATTTTTCAAGGGAGATCCAAAAAGGAGGATCCTCATATTAAGACATGGTCACGCATCCTCCATTGTTGGAGGTTTCAAAAGGAAATTAATAAAATAATTGGAGTACCTTGGACAGTCAAAAAGTCATGTGAATATTTGTGCTCCCTTATGCTCCAAAGACATGAAGACAATTTTAATCAGCATACTCATTTTAGCTGGTGACATAAAATTTCCAGAGATATTGGCAACAGCTGAAAACTGCTGCAAGAGAACTCCTGTGAATTGGTGGTGAAAAACTAAAGGATGAAAGAAACCCCAACCATTTTAAATCCAAATAGCTCATGGCACATTAAAATAAATTACTGATTGCAGATGGCAGAATCAACACAACCAAATCAACTGAAAAAGAAACACTGTAAGTGAATACTAAAGTGAATAGTTTTTTGTTAAAGTGTTCAGATTTAAGGAAAAATGGGAAGGAGACTTTAATCAGAGGCAATCTGGTAATAAAGTTGTCATCCATACAGGAACACAAATGAAAGGAATAGCAAATTTCTTGGGGAAAGATTCAAGGATGTTTTGGAGACAAACTCTGTAAGCTTATTATATAGAACATGATGGTGAGTTTAATAGTTGCTACATTAAATCAGTTCATGCCTCTGTGCACACAGAGGTCAACTGATCCACTTTATCCTGGCACAGGTACTGCCAGGAAAATACCCATTAGAAAGCTTAAGAAATAACTTGACAATTCCATTTATGGCAGCAAGCAAAAGATGTTGAGAAGAGTTCAGCTATATCTTAACACCAGACAGATTGAAGGTGAGTGGAAAACCCCTCAATGCAAATTATTATTTCTATTATTATGCAATATATATATAATATGAGAATGAGCTTTCAATACTAGATTTCAGGGGATTTGTTTTGTTATTCCTCCCTGTTCTCTCCACACTTCCTTTCAAGAGAGCAATCTACCCCTATTCTAAAGCATTCAGTGATAGAAAGAACAATCAAGTAAAATTAAACATGGACCAAAGAACAAGTGGACAGCCCAAACTTTTAAATGGATGAAGAAATTCTAGTGAAACACAATTCTGCTACGTTTGTACATCAACTCTTATTCATCATATACCAATACTCTTTCATGGGTTGAAATTTAACAATGTAATATTTCAGCAACACGAAATTAATATTTGTTTAGAATTAATTACACAAATACTAATAATTTATTCTTTAAAAATGGTATGTGGAACAACCAAATCTCAAAAAATCAGTTGGCTTATAAACATTCATATTTCAGATTCCACCACTTTTTCAGCCTATATTCCCTCAAGTGCCACTTGAACTTATTTTCTACAGCAATTACTCCCACATATCAGACAAATAGTTTAGTTTCTGTCCCTTTGTCACATGATTTCTGCACTTGTAAGAGACTTATGACTCCAGGAGTGATAAACGTATACACTGGCTCACTTACACGATTCTGAGTGTAGCACAGGAAGTCTTCAATTGTCTCTTTAGACACAACTTGCAAAAATGCTTCGCGTTTCATCCTGGAATTGGTCTTCCCTACTTTATAACCAAAACATAATGTTAGAGAAGGTATTGTACACCAAAACAAGATCATTTTGGTCTGTTGTAGTCATCTATCAGTTATATACATAGCATTAATTTATATATGTTATATATTACAGTAGTTATACATGCACTACATAGTTAAAGCAGTTTTCCCCTCCAACATATTTTAGTTATCTGAATCAGGATTTAGATTCACAACATCACTAGGCTGCAGGGCTTGTTTTCTTTTTCGTGGTATTTTTTTTTTTTTTTTTTTGTAAATAAGTTTTAAAGCAGATTTTTTTTTTTTTGAATACTCTGATTTTTAGAAAGCACAATGCATTCTTAAGCACATAACCGCTATTTAAGCTGGTTATCAGTCCCAACAACAGTATTTATTTATATAAGAAGCACTAAGGGGTAGTAAAGAAAAAGAGAAGTAATTTCGTCTATCAAGAGAAAACCATGGGAAATGGACAAGGCCACCAAGAGCCTTATTTGCTCACGTTAACATTGCCTCCATGCTAGGTGTCTCCCGACGTGCTTTCCCAGGTGGGAAAGTGACTTACACAGCATCAAGTCACATCACAGACCGGGGCGGGGGCCGCTCCCGGGCCCCGTCCCGGGGCACCCGGGGGCTCGGGCAGGCCGGGCCGAGCAGGCAGCGGAGAGCCGGACGTGCCGCTTACCTGGGGCTCCCTCGGAGCGGCCGAACCCTCACGGATCCGCGGGACGCCTCAGCCGAGCGAAGAGCCCGCGGCGCACGGCAGCAGCGCCGGAGGAGACACCGGCCCCGGGAGCCGCTCGGAGGGGACACCCGGGGACACCCCGAGGCTCCGGGACGCTCCGGGACCCTGCTGGACGCCCCGAGGCTCCGGGGACGCTCCGGGACCCTGCTGGACGCCCCGAGGCTCCGGGGGCGCTCCGGGACCCTGCTGGACGCCCCGAGGCTCCGGGGACGCTCCGGGGGCGCTCCGGGACCCTGCTGGACGCCCCGAGGCTCCGGGGACGCTCCGGGGACGCTCCGGGATCCTGCTGGACGCCCCGAGGCTCCGGGGGCGCTCCGGGCCCCGCCCGGCCCTTCCCTCACCCGCCACTTTTCGAATCCTCCCGCGGCCGGCGTTGAGCGCGCGCCGCGGAACTCCCGTCCCGTCTCGCGAGAACTCGGCCGCAGCCCCCGCCCCTTCCCGCGCTGAGGGCGGCTGGGGGAAAGGAGGCCGTGAGGGGGCGCAGGGTTCCAAGCTCGGGGACGCACAGGGTGAGCTGGGCTGGAAAAGGCTCCTGAGGTCACCGAGTCCAGCCGATGACCCAACATCACCAGGTCAACTAGACCATGGCACTGAGTGCCACCTCCAGTCTTTCCTAGACACCTTCAGGGAGGGCGCCTCCAGCACCTCCCTGCGCAGCCTATTCCAATCGGCCTTGCTGTAAAGAAATTCCTCCTAATGTTCGACCTGAACCTCGTTTGGTGCAGCTTTTAACATTTTAATAATAATAAAATGGTTATAAAATAATAATATAATTAGAGTAATAAAGTTTAGAGTTAGGATAATTATAAGACAATAAAAAGCAAAGAATTACAGACCTTAGGATGCTCTTGGACACTAAGTCACGAAAAGCATACCTTGTGAACAAAGGAATAACCTTAAAAGCAATAGCCTGTTGCATATTCATATATCTCATACGTGATGCATAAATTTTTTGCAAATTAAGAACTTTGGGTTTTGTCAACTTCTCCTTAATTTTGTTGGTTCTACAAAGATGGAGAGAAGGTGGAAGTTTCTGACTTTTTATGGGCCCTGCTCGCTGACATCTCTATGTGAAGAGTTTCTTGATTATCTCCCTGCTTGAGCTTGTAACAAATCCTATATCGCAGAGTTTCTATTTTAAGATTATGCTGTAACTTAAAACTACATTTAACACACTACATAAGAGAATGAATGCAGCATAACTTTCTAACATTACACATATTTATTGTAACATTTGCGAAAAGCCAATCATAAAATTTTTTCATATCCCAGCAGCTTTGGCCACGCTGAAAGCTCCTTCCTCTGCTGCTTTCTGACCCAGGCTGGCTGGAGGCACGGTGACATCCATCACTTACCCAGAGGCAGCTGCCATCGTTCAAACCCACCGCCCCGCTCACTGTTGCCTTTCTGTACCTGCCTGCAAAGCGTCAGTGCTTCCAAATGGGGGTAAGACATGATCAGTTAAATTCATTTTCATGCTTAGGAAACAGAATTCCTTCCTCCATGGATCTCTGGTAACGTGGACATAACTGCTTTTATAGAACATCATGCATATGATTACACTGGTGGCTTTTTTCTCCAATAATGTTATTGTTGCTATTGCTGACAGCTATGCTTTTCCTCACAGTCCTGGTGAACAATATGAGTACTTTGCACTCTTCATCCAAAAGCAATCAAGAGTTAAACAGCCTATATGCGAGAATGTACAGAATATATGCCAGATTATGTAAACCAGATAATATTTAGAGTTTGATAACTAAGGATTTTTTTAATGTATCAGGAAATTATATCTTCTGTTTCTTCTTTGCAGTGTTTGGAAATAGAGTTAGATTTTGAATTCTATAATATTCCCCATTCCATTTATTTGAGATCTTCTGCAAACCAAAACAGTCAAAGTGTATTGTTAAGGGCTTAGTTTGTATCTTTCCACTTGGCATTTTCAGTAGTGTTGGCTGTTCAGAAGAGAGCAGTACATAACTGAAGCAATTTACTTCCAGTCTGTAGAAGCAGTACAGAATGTGCTGCTCTACTGTGCAAACAAACAGAAACCCAACTATAATTTCCATAGAAGTTATCATATCTGGTTGGACTTTTCAGGACTGTAATTTTAAAATATATTATGTAACTCAGAATTTATTTCATATTAAAGATAAAAATTCACTCCTTTAAAAGTAGCATTTACATATTCTGCTGTTTTAATTTTTAACATAGATTCTTCCTTAATGATCCTGCCTTTCACAGTTTTAGTTTACATTAAAAAATAAGATTTTTTGCATTTTCTAGCACATTTATTTGATAAAAGAAGCTGGCTTTTTTCACATCCTGTGGACCTGACTTTATATCCCAAGTTACATATTCAGCTAAGTGCAAGGAGCCTGTGAAACAGTTTGCTTGGAATAAGTTGGATGGGCAATCAGCATACCTGTAGAATTATAAAAACAAATTAAAAAGTATAACCCCTAAAATTTATACATTATGCTAATGTATGCTTATATTAAAAATTTTCTGCATATATTAAAAATCTTTGCCATTTTAGATACAAACTGATGGATTTATTATCATGACTCATGCAGGCTGAATATTTCATTAATACCTTGATTTGTCTTTTAATTAGATGCCACTTTAGTCACCTGGTTACTGTTTATTTAGTGGGGCACGTATCATTTTAGCAAACAAAATAAAACATATTTTAGTTTTTAACTTCTGTTGCATAGCAACCACAGAATGGTTTGTTTCACAGTATTGAAACTAGAAGTTGACACAGATAACAACAGGCTGAATAACACCAAGTGATTCATTTAATGGACCATATAGAGAAACCAGAGAAACAGAATAATGTTTTCTAGGTTTTTTTCAAGAACTGTGCATGAACTGCAAGCCAGTAATAAACCTACAACTCTATTTTCAGTTTCTCTAATATTCTCCCTTTCAAGATTACCAAATTACATACCTCTCTTTGACATATCTGTTCATCTGTTCAAAATAATCTATACACTGTGATAATAATCTCATATTTATTATCATTTTCCTGTCAAGTTAAGGCAAAAATGAAAAATGGGCCTTTCGCACATGGTTGCTGAGCAACAGCAAATAAAGATTTGCTTTTGTGCTACTGCTTCATGAACCAGTCTTTATTCTTGTTGGTGGTCTGCATTACAGATCTCGGTTACAGATGGCTCACACCAGAATATTGTTTGGACTAGAGCAAGCATTCCATTTCAACCCATAAGAGTCAACAATATAAATAAAAAATAAACAGGTAGTTCCCTGTACGTCAGCTACTTTCTTGACAATATTTTCTTATATTTACAATGTTATTTTGTAGATAATATTTTCTTATGAGATTATTTCACACGTTATCTACTACCATGTTGGAGTTGTAACTTCTTTTTCTTTGAATATGTAATAAAATTTGTTATAGTTAAAACAGTATGAACAAAATCTGCTCATCCTCTGAGGCAGGCTGTTAATAATTTACATGCATGCGTTTCCCTTGATTTTTTTTTTTTTTTTGATCTTCACATACTTTGATAAATAATCTGAACAGCATGGGAGAGAGATGAAGTTTCACACTATTCCACTTCTCTCCAGATCTCTCCTTGCCTGAAGGTAATCCTGCCAATCATGCCATCCTTTATTCAGAGGCAACTGTCACTTCTCAATGCTGGTGTGATTAGACCGTGAAAAGGCTTATTTCCCTTAAATTATTAATATTAACATGAATCAATTTTAGAGTTTAAGAGATTAAGTAGGGAAAAAAATCACTGCAGAAGAAAAAAAAACGTATCCTTGTTAACTCACACAAAAATAAGGAAACAAAATGCGCAGAGGGAAAGCAAAAGCTGCTGGGGAGAGCCACTCCCTGGAGCCGCTGCCGACGGAGCCGCAGTCCTGAGCTGCCGCCCCGCGGGAGCTCCCCGCTACTGCCGGGCTCTGCCAGGAGCCACACCCAGTCAGTTTAAACCAGGAAAACACTGCAACTTGCATCTCGTTGCTTTGTTGTGATGCTTTGTGACAAAATACTTAGTTATTACATCTTGCAGGGGGCTGAAGGATGGAGACGGGCTGAGAGAGCTGGGGGTGTTCAGCCCGGAGGCCTGAAGCCTCTGGAGAAACTTTAGAGCACCTTTCAATGCCTAAAGGGTTTACAAGCGAGGAGAGGGAATTTTTGTAAGAGCATGGAATGGCTTTAAACTGACAGAGGGCAGGTTTAGATTAAATACTGAGAAGAAATTCTTTATTGTGAGGGTGGTGAGGCACTGGCACAGGTTGTCTGCAGAAGCTGTGGATGCCTCAGCCCTGGCAGTGTTCAACACAAAGTTGGCTGGGGCTCTGAGCAACTTGGTCTAGTTGAAGGTGTCCCTGCCCAGGGCAGGGGTCTTGGAAATAGATATTTTTTAGGGTCTCTTCCAACCCAAACCATTCTATTGGCCCTATAATTACTATTTACTGTATTGCTATGCCATTACCATTATCACTTGTTCCTTATAAACAATGTTGTAAGTCACTGTAATTTTTCTCTGTTCACTATTAGTACCATGAAAATGGAAAGATTTCTGAAATGTTATGAGATACAAAAAGAAATTACAATAACAGTATTTGCATAGCTGAATCCACCCCACTGTAAAAAAAAAGGAAGTGGAATTTTTCATTACAACAACAGCAAACATTTTCTAGTATAAAGTCATTGTCATCTTTCAAAATACTATGTATCATTTAGTAAATTTATAATGCTAGTTTGTCAGTTAATTTGTTTCAGATATATAACACTACAGTTACAAATGCTATGTCTGTATTACTTTAACCCCATTAAATTACATTCTTATAGAGATTTACTGCTCTTATAAGTGTCCTGTCTCCTTGCAGCTCTCATTCTATTTTAGTCTTTAAGAGAAAAATTGCTTCTAAGGTACAAAATCACTGTTATTATTAATTTCACAAGTGCTCTTGGAGGTTTCGTTGTGATAGACATACATCATTTAGATATGACACCA